AGTGTCATGCTTTAAATCGCATGTGTTCAAACAGAATGTGCTCTTTGAGTAGTAATTTATAGTGTTTTCTAGTAAATCTTGGATAACTTAGATTTAAATTTGTGATAAAAGATTATTTGATTTCCAGTTATATTTCCTCTAAATCCTGTCTCCCTTATTTCTGTCTTGTCCTTTGTATTGTAATATATTTGCCTGAGTAGATCCTTGAATTTTTAGCTTTAAATCGTGTCATAAATCTGGTGTCTATTTCTATGCATGCGTCTTGTCAGCCTAGCAACTTAAGGAACTATCATAGAAAGGCAAATTTTCCAGTAACTGAGCATACCTTTGTATCTTCCTAATGCATGGAAGAGTATAGTATGTCACACATAAGTGTAATGTTGTCAATATATTGTAATGAATAACTGATGTTTCATTGGAAATGTTTAAACTGACCTGCCACATCACAAGTTACTGTTCTCTTGGCAATCAGCCATCCATAGAACATGGGGACAGATGTCAGTGTTTGCTTCACTCAGTGCTTTTGCCTCTAACCATTGCATGCATGTGTATAATAGACATAGAATTTAGGATTTGAAAGGACGGAATGATTGAAGCAGAGCCATAGGCTTTAGATTGAGGAAAAACAGTTTTCTCTGATATGGAAGGCTAGAACTTAGTAAGCACTGCTCTCTGCCGGGTGCCAAACTCAGTACTTGGCCATTTTTTTGCTATATTTAGTCCACAAGCATATCCCCGTGAGAAACCAGTTGCTGTGCTTGCCCCCAATTACAGATGTGGAAACTGAAATTTAGATCACATGATGTGCAGAGCAGGTATAAGTTAAGTCTGTTTTGATTCCAAAACCAGGACCATTTCTCCCTTGAGCCTGGATTTTTCAAGATGTTCTGATCTGCTGACAGTCTCCCTCTCAGAGGAAACCTTGGAAGTAAAAGCGGTGCCCTGGAAGCAGTGGGGATTGCGGAGTTTTCTTTCTGTCAGTCTAGAAGCTCCCCCCAATGCCTGCTGCCTCTGGCCCTGTGCCATGCCCACTTCATGCTTCCTGCCTTCCTGGTGGTGCACTTGTGGGGCAGTGCTGCTGCAGGTGCCAAGTGGTGATTGTCCTCAGCAGCTGTGTGTGAGCTTCTCTATGTGGCTTAGCAGAAGGGAAATTTAGTAAGGACACAGGTACAGATCCTCACTCTGTTGCTGATTAGTTCCTGGCCTGGGAGCTGTTCCTTGGCCCAGTGGAACCATGGCTTGCTCTCTTGTAAGTGAGGTAGTGATCCACACAGTAGTGCTGTTTGGAATGGCCCTGATCTGTGCCCGCCCAAAGTGAGATGCCGCGCTTTCACCAGCAGCCGGCCTCAGAGCTTACCTCTGTTCAGTGGACTTCAGTGTGGTTTGGATATTTTGGTTTTGGCAGTAAGAATTTCTCAGCAAAGGAAGCAGTCTGTTGACTTAGACTCAGACACTGTGGCCTCCTCTTGTTCACTAGTCATCTCTCCTCAGCATGCAGCCTGGTGACTTTGAGAAGACTTGCTCTGGGCTGGCTGTGAAGATTAGCCTAGCAGTGAGTCTAAGGACAGCAAATATGGGCCAGACAAAGAGCGATATGGGATGGTTACTTCTTCATTTCAGTTTTACTGGGCAGACTAAGGTGACTTCTTGGCACTTGTAGAAAGGTCTGAGACAAGGCAGTGGGTCCTAGCCTTGGGTTTCCTCTCACAAGAGAACAGAGGCAGAATGAAGGCCTGGTTCAATGAGCCTAGAACGCTCTGGGCAGAGCGGGGCCAATGTAGGGGAGTCTTGGTGCAAGAATCTCTTTTTGTGGGTGGAGCATAAGTATAGTGCCTTACCTCTTCTTTTTTCTTTTCTATTTTAACAAATGATTGTTTTAACCTGAAATTTTAAATGATGCCTGGTAAACAACATGGTCTTAAGTTTGATTTTTGGGTCCCTCCCAAAAATAGTTTTGAACTTTTATGATTCTTGTTAGTAATTTCAAGCATGATGGCCTTCTTTAGAGATGAGATTGCTGGACGTTAAACACGGGGCCTTGAACATACTAAGTAAGCATGCTCTGATTACCCCAGCCCACAGCAGTCTTGTTTTGTTACTACAATTAGAAATGAGAGTCAGACAAGGTGGTATATGCCTGTAATCCCAGCACTCAGGAGGCTGATACAGGAGGACTGCTGGAGTTTGAAGCCAGCCTGGACTACAGTGTGAGTTCATGGCCAGCCAGAACTGTATAATGAAACCTTATCTCAAAAAAGAGAGAGAAAGATACAGAATTTGTCTGTTTATCTGTTAAGATTATATCATATGTTATATATCCTAATTTAAGATTGTATCCTAAGTTAACATTGTATCCTATGTGATTTTAGACTTGCAGCCTCTAGAACTGTCAGAAATAATTATCTGTTGTTTATTAATACCCAGCCTATGACTATGGTAGTTTTTTTTTTTTATAGTAGCTGGAAGTGACTGGGAGAGGGAGACTGCTAACAACATAAAGCCTCCCATCTAGATGAGCATGAAACTAGATTCCACAGTGCTTAAAAATAGATAATACTAAGACACGCTTACAGAGATGACTACTCACAAACAGGTGCCTATTTCACTCGATCACAAATGGGTGGAGAATCTGCCAAAACTGCCAAAATAAGTGAGCATGATACTTAGAGACAGATTAACATCCATAGTAACAGGGACTGGCGGTAAAACGAAGCAGGTATGACAAAAAAACAACTTGGAATCTAGTAAATGAAACAGACCTTAGCTAGAATGATACAGTCTGTTGTGGACATGGTCAAAGACGGAGCATTGGCAGTAAGTCACCAAAGGTGAGCCAGATTGCAGCAAGAGAGACAAAATGAGAAAAATTCAAGGCCCTCAATTCAGGCAGGCCTAGAGCCAGGCCCACCTATTGATGTGATAGGTGTGTGAATAGAATTGATTTGATTTTTGACTTAGAGTAACTAGAGTCTACTTTTCTTCTACCTGCCCCAGAATCTTTCTGATAAAAGATTCCATTAGAGAGAGGGCACACTCTGTCAGGAATGGTACTTATTAGGTGACCTGACAGTGAGCTCTTGCTTATCACCATGGCCAATGCCAGTTAGTACCTCGATCAGGGCCGTGTTGGCATCTACAGGAGAAATCTGTACCACAGGGAAGGGCTCACACTTAGTAGAGAACATGACAGAAGTCTAGATGGCCGGCTGGCCAATACCCTTTCCCCTACTGCTTCGCATCCACAAGTCCCATTCCTGAAGGTTGGCTTTGGGCCTATGAAGATGTCTCAACACTGGCTGGAACTCTGTCAGGTTTTAAGACACATTTGGATGATTTTTACCTGGTTGGCAGGCAGGAGCAAGCAGACCCTATGTTAGTGGCCTTGGTGAGGGGGCATTTGAGTGTGAGGAGACAATCCTGCATGGCAGGTCCAGGGAGCAGAGCCTGTGTTGTTGGCCTGGGGAAAGGACCTTACCTTGCTGGCCTGGGGGAAGAAGGGGCCTTCAGTTGGTCTGGATATGAGAATCATGTGTTGCTAGCTGGGAAAGAGAAGGCTCTGCTGGCCTGGGGAGAAGAATCTCTATGTTGTTATCTGGGGAGCCACCATGGTTTTGGCCTGGTGAAGGGCCCTGTGTTTTTGGCTGGAGGAGTCCGCTATGCTGAGCTGGGTGGGGGAGGCAAATAGAAGTCCTAATTCAAATACCATGGACTCCTGGCCTTATTCCTGATATTTCTTGAATAGATAATTTCCTCATTTACTGTTATCCTTTGAGCCATTTCCAGAAGCTTTGAAGAGTGGTTTTCATCATTTCAGGTCTCCCTGGGGAGCAGGCTGCAAAGTTCCTGCCAGGCTAAGTTCGGCTCACCCACAGTCATGAGTTTTTGGAGAAGAAAAGCTAGTTTAAAAGAAATTTTGCTCTTTTCCAGTGCTTTCTGTGGCAGTGTCATCTCTATTTCTCTCTCACTTTACTTGCCCAATCTCACTGTGGCTCACATAGGCACATGAGTCGTGGTCTGGTTAAAGCAGACTTCATGGGCCTGTGCTTTCTGTGATGAGATTGACTGTGAGCTGCAAACAATTGCTACCAGTGCCCTGTAAGAGCACCGCCTGTGTTAAACTAGCTTTCTAGAATTATCTAGCTCAAGCACATGTTCTTTTGAAGGACTGATTATTTATCCGGTAGATCTTTATTCTTGTCTTTTAAAGGAAAAGCACCTAAAGCCAGAAACACTGGCAGATGATTTTACTTATTTCAGAGTTGCTTTGCTCCAAATTCACATTGCTCAATTCAGTTCATTTGTGGTATCTGTGAACCGGTGTCATAACACAAGGTTTAGCACAGAACAGTGCTGCAGGACTCCTGCAGCTTCTCTCTGCCTTTTGCAAGATCTCCTACACTGCTGCATGCATAGTGTTTTGAGAATGCCTTTACAGAGAATACAAAAGGCTTCCTAGTCCTAGCAGTAAGCCCATTCTTCATAGTTGACTTTGCTCCAATGATTCAGGGAGACTATAGGGACTAAGGGAAAATCAGAATAGAGAGGGGACTAGAATTGGATAGTGACCTTCTAGGCCTTTTTTCCTTGATCTCTCTAAGGGCTCTAGGTCTCAGATCTGTGACTGACTTACAAATGTCTTCAGATGCTTCATTTTGGGATGCCAATTGAGGAAAATGCTTTTATTTCCTGAAGTCTAAAGAGGTGGACCTGGACACTCATTATCCCCTGCTGTGCTTTCAGCAGTGCCAGGGTGGAGGGAAGTCAGATGGCCTGGGTTAGACTCTCATTCCATTGGGAATACCTATGTCACCTTACGGCAAATGGTTGATCTCCATTTCTCTGGAGGAGAATGGGAATCCTTTGCCATGTATCTTGAGATTGGGTTGCCTGTGTGTGTGGACTATGAGGCCAATGGAAGTCTTGCCTAAGAGGTTTTTTTTTTTTTTTTTAAATTTATTCATGTATGTGTTGATTTATTCCTTTACTTTGCTGCTTTGCAGGAGTTTTCAACGCTTGCAAAAGAGCTCAACATTTGCAGGGAACAGCTGCTTGAGAAGGAAAAAGAAATTGCTGAACTAAAAGCAGAAAGGAACAACATGAGGGTCAGTGGAGCTCTGGTTTAAGTGTTTTGTGCTTTTTCCTTCTGTAGAGTGTGTTCAGTATTAAATGTTGCTTAAAATTTGTGATAGAAGGCAAAGCATGGTGGCATATGCCTTCAATCCCAACATTCTGAGCCAGGAATGTCTTGAGTTAGAGGTCAGCCTGGGCTAGCTAGTAAGTCCTCAAGCCAGCCTAGACTACAAAATGAGACCTTCTTGTTAATAAAAGAAATTAGTGATGGAAATTCATGACATTCGAATACAATTGAGGGAAATTTACCTAACTCTACTGAATTGTAGGAATTTGAACTTGTTTGACCATGAGATTATGAAGGATTTGAATGTGAAATTGAAGGTGCTCTTTACACGCCCCCTTTGGCCTGGTTTCAGCTGTTCCTGGAACATCTGGAGTTCCTTGTCTCCAGGCATGAACGCTCTCTCGAAACGACTGTGATGAAGCGGCAGGCGCGGTGTCCTGCAGATGTGTCCACAGAGATGGAAGTGCTAAAAGCACTGACATTCTTATTTGACCACCACAAGACCCTGGACAAAGAGGTACATGAGCTACACTAGTGGTTCTGGGTTCTTACACTTGCTGGGTTCATGGCAGACTTTGCATGTGTTTGTTTACCTTTAAGGTTTGCTAAGTTTTTGAGTTCTTGTAAACAGACTTTCTGTATTAAAAGGCAATGTTCTGCATAATCAACAAACACTAACTGGAATGTGAGTCTTCAATTGATTATTTCTGAATATTGACTGCCCATTAAGAACTGGATAGTGTTCATTTATTTAGGAACAAGAGTTTCCCGGCCTTAATATTTAAAGCCATTAACAAGGACATTTTCTTGACAGTACTAGCAATGAAAGACATTGAAAGTACTTTATTATATGCCTTTCATCAATATCAGGATAACTATATGGAAAGTGTGCGTATGCATATAAAAACTCAACTCTTTTCAGGTGCGAGAGCAATTACGTGTAGCACTGCAAAGGTGCAGCTTGCTGGAAGAGGAACTGGGCGCCACGCACAAGGAGGTAATTGTGGGACATCATCCTAGCCCTGAAAAGGGAAAATTATTTTATTTTAATCTCTTAAAAAACAGTGTGAAGCCTGTAATACTATTGGATTAGATTTTTATTTCAGATTGCAAGAATCTCTAAATTTGTTGTCAAGCAGTCAGTACATTCTGTTTCTAGTAATCTGGTTCTGCTATGGATGGTCAGCTTTGGCATGTACTGTCTTTTTTATACTATGTTCAGCACTGTAGAATTATGTTTTTCCAAATGGAATTTTGCTGTCTTTACTCATTACTCTTCCATAAGTTATTGTAGTCTCATACTCAGTTTTCGATTGTAGCTAATGGCTCTTAAAAAACAGAATAATGAGAAAAAATCACCAAGAGATGGAGTGCTTGACCATGAACAAGAAGAAACACCAAGCACTAATGGAAAGGTAAGTCCTTGAGATCTCTCTTTGTTCTGTTGCTGATTTCTTATATTTTGTGGTTCGTGTGTGATGCTGTTTGGATGCTGTTGCTGGAATGGCCTGCTTCCAGCTAAAGTGATTGTTGAGAGTCCTATCATCCAACAGATGGCATAAATCCATTTTGATAGTCCCTATGTTCAAAAGTATTTTATTTGGTAGTACACTAAGGTTATTTAAGAGTGTCCATTTTACCCATCAGAGATCTTCTGCTGGCTCCTTAAGCCATGAGGAAGACCTTGCCAAAATAATTGTGCTCCAAGAAGTCATACACAAACATTCAAAAGAGCAGAGTCAGATGAAGGAGCTCCTGGCTGCACTTTCCAGCCATGTGTCAGAGCTGCAAGAAAATCTTGACACAGCAAGAAAGGATCTCATCAAGTCTGAAGAGATGAACAAGAAATTGGAACGAGATGTTCATGAAATAAGTGATAAAAATTACAGGGTTGTCATAATGTTGAGTGCTTGGAGTGTTAAGGATAATGATTCCTTTTTTTTTTTGTCCTTTCCTTGGTCGGTTATTTTCAGCATTTGCACTGTTGAATGAGTATAAATATGAATAATACAACACAGTATTGCTGTCAGATCGTGACATACCGCCTCCCCCTGGTTGAGAAATTTCTCCTTTTCTGTGGTCTTTTAAAAAGGTAGAGGAGAACTTGCCCAGCTTTTCCCACTTAGTTTATGGGAGTTTGTCCTCCACCCTCATGTGGATTCTTCATCTTTGCAGCTTCTTGGCTGTCATCATGTGTTCTTCTTTATGTTCAGCTTCTCAAGTACATGCACTCCTTAAACAAGGATTTTCAGTACTAGTTGTGCTTTGAGTTCGCTAAAGAGATGTGAGTATTCTCTGGGACTGTGGCAAAGGGAGCATTATCAGGTGTCTTCTAATTTTTTCATATTTTTCCTCAGGCACAGAGGTATGGTATTGAATTTTGGATGTTACATCAGCTCTAATGTGTGAATAGTTTTTGGGTAGTTTAGGCTTTGTGCTTATCTTGCCTATGAGATCTCATTTCATGTGAAATTGTATTTACAACATTCTGCTTTGCACCTGTACTTGTATCTTTGGTTTTATTTCTCTTGCTATACATTTTACTTTTTAGTGGCATTCTTAGCCAGAATATAATCAAATTAAGCAAGTCATTTTAGTGGAATGTTCAGTGTCAGCAGTCTGTTTTGTGACATTTGGATGTATTTATGATTTATACTGTTAACTAACTGAGCAATATTTTTCTTTTCTTTTCCTGTTTTTTTTTTTTTTTTTGGACATATTGGGTTTGAACCTAGGGTTTTTCACATACTAGGCAAGCACCAAACCACTCACCAAACCATTTTCTTTTCTTTTTTCTTTTCTTTTGGTACTATGAATTGAACTCATGATGTTCTGCTTGACAGGCAAGTGCTATGCCATGGAGCTATATCCCTGACCCTTTTTCTTCTTTTCAAACTTATTTTATTTATTAGTGTTTGGTTTTTTGAAAAAAGGATCTTGTGGTGTAATTCAAGCTGGCCTTGAACTCATGGCAGTTCTCCTGCCTCAGCCTCTCACATGCTGGGATTACAGACATGTGGCACCAAGCCTGGCATTGTATTTTCATCTTTTTGACAATCTCATTTATCAGTTGTGTCCTTCTTTCCAGTATTTGTAAAAGAAGTGCAGCAACACATCTGTAATCCCAGCTACTTGTGGACTGAAGTGGGAGGTTTGCCAGTTTAAGGTCAGCCTGGGCAATTTAGGAAGACACTGACTCAAAAAGAGCTGAGTATCCCAAGCATAGTGGGTGAACCCTATCTTTCTAGCTACCCAGGAGACTGAGGCAGACAATCATAAGTTCAAGGGTAGGCTGCCCAATTTAGCAAGACCTTGTTTTGAAATTAAAAGGAAAAAAATATGGGACCATAGCTCAGTGTTAGAGTACCCCTGCCTTCTATTCCCAGTACCACACACAACCACGGAGGAAAACTCTTTCTTCCTGGTTCTCTAATTCAGCATGCTGGCTGACGGTCTGTGTGCTTCCATTGTTGGTTTTGATTTCTTATGCCACCCTTGTGTTTGTTTTATTTTAACCATCTCCAGATTCAATTCTAATCCAGGCCTCAGGTCCCTATCAATTTGTAGTTTGTCCATGAAGCTCCCCTCTCAGCCCCTCCCCATTCTGTGATGGCTCTGCACAGCTAACCAGGCAAGCACGTGTGAGTCTGAGCTGGATTATGACTGATTAGTGGGGCTTGGGGTTTTTGTCATTAAAAATGTATTTTGCTCAGTAGTGATCAATTATATTTAATATATAATTTGTCAATGTGGTTACAAGCAAGATATAATTGGTTGAATGTTTTTCCTTAGATTGTACAGGATCTGCATGATTCATGAGTGAAGTATTTCCTAGGTTAAAAAATAATCTGGGCTCACTGCAGTGGCACATGCCTGTAATGCCAGCTACTGGGGAAGCTAAGAAGGAGGATTTTAAGTCTGAGGCCAGCATGAGAAGTTTAGCAATGTGCTATGTCAAAATAAAAATATAAACGTGGCTGGCAGTGTAGTTTGTTGAGTGGCCCAGCTGGATTCAACCCTGCATACTGCAGGAGCAAGGGGAGGGGCCACTGCTGAGTGTAAAATTTATGGGAACTTTATACAGACAATACGAATCAGATTTTATTGATTATAATCAGAATTCTAAATCTCATCAACTTATAGGGCATATGCTATAGTCTTTAATGGACTACTTAAAATGCCTCCTATCTAGTACTGTGCTAGCTTTTATTGTTACGTATTTTAGGATGCCTAGCTTTCTTTCTTTTTTTTTTTCCATTCCATTCCACTCCTTTGTATTCCACAGTATCTTGGATGGAATCTAGGCCTGTGCACTGAGATACACACATGACCCTTTTTTTTTTTCAGTATTATTTTTTATTGTGAGACAGGATCGTGCTAAATCACCAAGATGAGCTCAAACTTGGCAGCCTTCCTGCCTCAGCCTACCAGAGTGCTGTGATTTCATGTGTATGCCACTGCACAAGGGATAAATGATATATTTTAGGAAGTTGTAAATCATATTCTAGGTGAAGATTTTACTGCATTGCACAAAAAATGATTAACTAAAAATAAGTTTGTTCAGTTTTTTGTGTTTTTCTGAGACAGGATGACACCATGCAGTTCAGGCTGGCTTTGAACTCATGTAGTGCAGGTTGGCAGTTCTCCAGGCTTAGCTTCACAAATGCGGGGATTACAAGTCTGCACCACCATGCCTGGCTCTTCAGTTTTATAATAGATGTTGCTGTAACATCCTTGTCATCATGGGAATATTAGAGAGTAGGTGGTTATCAGGGCCCTTTGTTCTATACAGTGTCTTGCTTTAAATCGCATGTGTTCAAATAGAATGTGCTCTTTGAGTAGTAATTTATAGTGTTTTCTAATAAATCTTGGATAACTTAGATTTAAATTTGTGATAAAAGATTATTTGATTTCCAGTTATATTTTCTCTAAATCCTGTCTCTCTTATTTCTGTCTTGTCCTTCATATTGTAATATATTTGCCTGAGTAGATCCTTGAATTTTTAGCTTTAAATCGTGTCATAAATCTGGTGTCTATTTCTTTGCATGCATCTTGTTAGCCTAGCAACTTAAGGAAACATCATAGAAAGGTAAATTTTCCAGTAAGTGAGCATAGCTTTGTATCTCCCTAATGCATGGAAGAGTATAGTATGTCACACATAAGTGTAATGTTGTCAATATATTGCAATGAATAAGTGATGTTTCATTGGAAATGTTTAAACTGACCTGCCACATCACAAGTTACTGTTCTCTTGGCAATCAGCCATCCATGGAACATGGGGACAGATGTCAGTGTTTGCTTCACTCAGTGCTTTTGCCTCTAACCATTGCATGCATGTGTATAATAGACATAGAATTTAGGATTTGAAAGGACGGAATGATTGAAGCAGAGCCATAGGCTTTAGATTGAGGAAAACTAGTTTTTTCTGATATGGAAGGCTAGAATTTAGTAAGCACTGCTCTCTGCCAGGTGCCAAACTCAGTGCTTGGGCATTTTTTTGCTATATTTAGTCCACAAACACATCCCTGTGAGAAACCAGTTGCTGTGCTTGCCCCCAATTACAGATGTGGAAACTGAAATTTAGATCACATGATGTGCAGAGCAGGTAGGAGTTAAGTGTGTTTTGATTTCAAAACCAGGACCATTTCTCCCTTGGGCCTAGATTTGTCAAGATGCTCTGATCTGCTGGGAGTCTCCCTCTCAGAGTAAAACTCGAAAGTAAAAGCAGTACCCTGGGAGCAGTGGGGATTGTGGGGTTTTCTTTCTGTCCATCTAGAAGCTCCCCCTAATGCCTGCTGCCTCTGGCCCTGTGCCATGCCCACTTCATGCTTCCTGCCTTCCTGGTGGTACACTTGTGGGGCAGTGCTGCTGCAGGTGCCAAGTAGTGATTGTCCTCAGCAGCTGTGTGTGAGCTTCTCTATGTGGCTGAGCAGAAGGGAAATTTACTAAGGGCACGGGTACAGATCCTCACTCTGTTGCTGATTAGTTCCTGGCCTGGGAGCTGTTCCTTGGCCCAGTGGAACCATGGCTTGCTCTCTTGTAAGTGAGGTAGTGATCCACACAGTAGTGCTGCTTGGAATGGCCCTGATCTGTGCCTGCCCAAAGTGAGATGCCGCGCTTTCACCAGCAGCCGGCCTCAGAGCTTACCTCTGTTCAGTGGACTTCAGTGTGGTTTGGATATTTTGGTTTTGGCAGTAAGAATTTCTCAGCAAAGGAAGCAGTCTGTTGACTTAGACTCAGACACTGTGGCCTCCTCTTGTTCACTAGTCATCTCTCCTCAGCATGCAGCCTGGTGACTTTGAGAAGACTTGCTCTGGGCTGGCTGTGAAGATTAGCCTAGCAGTGAGTCTAAGGACAGCAAATATGGGCCAGACAAAGAGCGATATGGGATGGTTACTTCTTCATTTCAGTTTTACTGGGCAGACTAAGGTGACTTCTTGGCACTTGTAGACATGTCTGAGACAAGGCAGTGGGCCCTAGCCTTGTGCTTTCCTCCCACAAGAGAACAGAGGCAGAATGAAGACCTGGTTCAGTGAGCCTGGAAGGCTCTGGGCAGAGCAGGGGCTAGTGTAGGGGAGTCTTGGTGCAAGAATCTCTTTTTGTGGGTGGAGCATACGTATAGTGCCTTACCTCTTCTTTTTTCTTTTCTATTTTAACAAATGATTATTTTAACGTGAAATTTAAATGATGCCTGGCAAACAATGTCCTAAGTTTGATTTCTTTTTCCCTCCCAAAAAGTTTTTTTGAACTTTTATGATTCATGTTGTTGATTTCAAGCTTGATGGACTTTTTTAGAGATGAGATTGCTGGCGGTTAAACACAGGGCCTCAAACAAGCTAAGTAAGTGAGCTCTGGTTACCCCAGCCCCCGACAGTCTTTTGTTTTGTTACTACAATTAGAAATGAGAGCCAGACAAGGTGATATATGCCTGTAATCCCAGCACTCAGGAGGCTGATAAGGGAGGACTGCTGGAGTTTGAAGCCAGCCTGGGCTATCATGTGAGTTCATGGCCAGCCAGAACTGTATAATGAAACCTTATCTCAAAAAAAAAGAGAGAAAGATACAGAATTTATCTGTTTATCTGTTAAGATTATATCCTAGCGGGCTGGAAGTTTAGCTCAGCAGCATAAACGCCTGCCTTGTAAGCAGGCAGTCGTGAGTTCGATCCCCAGCACCAATAAAAAGGAAAAAGACAAAAAAAAAATTATATCCTAAATGCTCTCAGCTCACACTAGTCTAGGTGGTCTTCAGTGAGCTGCTACAGGACTATAATGGAATCTGTATCCTTTATACCATTGTACAGATAAATAAATTAACTATTCACCACTTGTTGTTCACCATGAATGTTTCATGAAATCTAGTCCTGCTTCAAAACCCGAAAATAACAACCTTCTAAACAGGGCCTAACCAGACCCTGAAAGAGTTCACATATGCACTATTTCCACAGTCCTGCCTTCTTCAACACATAGGCATACTCATGGGCCATCCCCTAAAAGAAATCCCAGGGTCTGCGTGACCCTCTTTTAATAATATACCCAGGATTATTATTATTTTTTTATTTAAGGAGAAAAAGAAAAAAAAAACAGAAAAAGGATACAAGTGATACAGAATTTCAAAAAAAAAAAAATAAACAGTAGGAAGTCACTAGTTAATAGATTACATACTGTCATCTTAGAAATGGTCGTTCAGATTACAAAATTAAAGCATATAAAGTAGACATTCAAACTGTGAGACTACAAACAATTCTGTTCAATGATCCCACAAAAACTTAGCAATATGGTTATCTATCTTATACACTTAAATATACATGCAATTATATCCTTTAGAGCACTTTCTTTTCCTCTCTTTTTTACTATGACAATTATACATTTTGGGTTTTATTACTCCCACAGTTCTTATTACTTTCTATTTGAAGAGAATAAAATCCAATGTGACATAACAAAACAGAGTCAGTCAAATCAAAAGAATGGATATAGTACATAATATAAAAACGGAAGACAAAGTGATGATCATTGGTTACCATAATGCCTCTTGCTATCTTAAAAAGAATTGCCTATATCATCAGTTATAATAAAACTGAAAACATTAAAGAACAAAACCAATAAAAGCAAAACATTGGAGACATTGCAGGACTTCAAGAAAAGATAATATGCAAACCCAAAACCCAGGATTATTTTATGAAGCCACATGGAAGTAGGGTTTTAGGCTGCATGCAAATGCTTCTGCTCATAACATTTGGTCCACACAGTGAGAAACAGAAGCCACACACATGCATATTTGGGTCTTCGCTCATGCTGTCCTTGTCTTGTTTCTTGCTAGAGGTAAAAGTATTGACAGTTTCCCTGAGGCTTCGGCCCCCACTAGTGTTCCTTTGAGTGACATCAGTAACTGAAGATATGTGTCACAGGCTCTTCAGTAATGAGAGTAACTTTGTTAACCTGAAGTGATAAAGTGCAGTGAACAGGCTTCGTTTAGGACTTCACTGTCCCTCAGTAACTATCCTCAGAGGTACCTGAGGTTGTACGGAGAACAGAATCTTGAAGGGGGGGTGATGCTGTCCCTGGGCTTCCCGGGGCTTCCATGAAGGAAGGCTATAGGTCAACCTGCCCTGCTCTCTCTCTGCTATGTGGTCCATTTCCCCCAGACAAACAGGCCTTCAGGTTGGCATTCAATTAAAATGAGACTTCTCAGGACAGGTAGAAAGTTTAGCTAATAGGTTTTGAGTCAGTTTATGTTATTTAAAGCCTATGTGATGTGTTTTCTTATAATGTACTGTTAGCTGATGTTGTTTTTTCACTCCTCAGTTGCTAGCTTGCAGAGAAGAAGAACGAGATGACAAGACAACGATAAAATGTGAAACTTCCCCTCTCTCCTCTCCGAAGTCCCTTCAGCTAGACAGGCTGCACACAGGGGCGTTGCAAATAGTCAGCCACGAGGACATCAGGGACATGCAAAAGTAAGGAGCAGGTCTCGTAGGCCACCAGACCCCTGAGAAACCTGCTTGTCTTAGTTTTTAAGAACATCTATTAATCTTTTCCTGTGAGAAAAACCAAGTTTTTAAAGAATTCTCAGCAAGCTCATTTGGTTGTGATTATTTAAACGTTAGACCTAGAATGTGTTCTCCTGTTCTGCGGCTGTAGTGACATCCAGTGGAAAAGGCCATCTGTTTGGGCAAAGTTTAGAAAGAATAGGAATTATTTGAAATTAGCACTTGAGAGAAAAGCTCCATTTCTTCAGATCCCACACACTCACTTCTTTTAAGAACTTTCTTTCTATTCCTGGTGAAGAATTTGCCACACGGATGTGGCAGGTTCTGGATCGTGCTATTCTGTGGACAATCGGTGCCTCTCAGGTACCCTCCCACACTCTGGGTCTTCTAAGCTCTTGAGAGTCCCACATTGTCCCTATCCCTTTAGGAAGCATGTTCCATCAGGAGGCCATGAAGGCTTGGTTACTTATAGACTGTTGTTTTCCACACTTCCTCTTAGAAGCTTTTGTTCCATACCAGGCAGTATGATCAAGCAGGCACATTGGTCTCCACAGTGTCCTGAGAGATAGTACAGCTCTCACTTTGCAGGAGAGCAGGATCCAAGGAACCAGCCTGCAGGAGCTGCTGAGAGGGAAGGTGGAATTCCAGTTCTGGCTTCTGAGACCTTGTTCTCTTTCCTGAGGGCTGAGTGTAAACCTCACTGGCTGAGCAAGGCCCCTGCAGAGGGTGTTCCCTTAGATGTCCAAACCAGGCAGGCTAGAGTACAGGCCTCCTCTGAGCAGGGAGCAACATCAGAATCTTGGCTTTCCAGACATAGGTCTGTGGAAGCATTACTGGGACCCTGCATTGCTATGCATAGTGTGCTGTGGGTAAGAGACTGGAAAGGATCTTCAGGGAGTTGAAGTAGGAATATTAAAAATGCAGACTGTTTTGGTACATGTGAGTGGACTGTGGAGTTCTAAAGAGGGCATGTGGTAAAAGTCCATTTTCTTTCCTTCAAGATCAAAAAGTGCCCAGGATGGTCCTGTGAGCAATCCCAGTAGCAGTGACAGCAGGCAGGACTCGCCCCACAAAGCCCCAAAGAAGAAGGGCATCAAGTCCTCCATTGGTCGTTTGTTTGGCAAAAAGGAAAAGGGTCGGCCTGGACAAACTGGCAAAGAATCACCAGGACAAGGTGGGTGGGGTTTCGGCAGCTGTCCTAACTGCTGGGAATGGGAGAACGTGAACTTTGTCCTGTGTGCCTGCCGCAGGTGCGCAGTGCCCACGTGGAGTCATGGCTGAGGGTTCTCCAGAAAAGCCCAGTCTGCTTTCTCAGTCTGCCCATGTGTGAACCAAAGCAGAGCAGTGGACATTCATTTGGCGTGAATGAATAACCCTCATAAGTGCTACTTTACACTCTTGAACATTTGTATGTGTTTGCTTGGAAGCTTACCCTTCAGAAATTATTCAGCTCTCTACCTGCAGAACCTTCAACCTATTTGTGAAACATATAACTTTGCCATGTTAATTTACTGTAAATTTGGGGGCATTTCTGATTTTTTAATAGCTGTTCTTTCTGAAACAGAAACCTCATCTCAGGATGCGTACCGACTTAGCAAATTGGGAGGAAAGGCTGAAAAAAATCGAAAATTTCAAAAAAAGTAAGCTTTTTGTTATTTCTCCATCTCATGAAACAGGTTTCTGAGTTAACAGTCATTCTTAGCTGATTTTAAGTGTAATTTCTAGCTATGTAAATACATTGTCTTTTGAAAGATAAACCTAAAGCAGTGATAGAGCTTTCAGTGATACAAAGAGCTTGCTGCAGCATGCACGCCATAGGTTTGCCTCCATTGACCTAAAGCCTGTTTTAAGCCATCATGTCTGGAGAACAGAGGACATTTGGAAATTTTGACTGAACTCACACATGTATTCTCAGTCTACCTTTTCAGAGTTGTCTCCCAGGATGATAGAATGGGTAATAGTTAGGCTTGGCCATTTGAGCTCTGGCCGCTGAATCCTGGTTAATTCTCTAGTTAGCTGTGTGTCTCTGACAAAGTTACTTATCCTGTGCTTCAGTTTTCTCAACTGTCAAATGGCAGTTACAGTTGTTCATACATCATGTGGCTGTTTTTCAGTTCAATAGAATTATATATGTGCATGTATATGTTTTATAACATGGACACAATTCCTAAATAAGTTACAATTACAGTCAGGCTTCTGAGACCTTGTTTTCTTTCCTGTTGACTGAGTGCATCCCTCAGTGCCTGAGCAAGGCCCCTGCAGAGGGTGTTCCCTTATGTGTCCAAACAAGGCAGGCTAGAGTACAGGCCTGCTCTGAGCAGGGAGCACATCAGAATCTTGGCTTTCCAGACACAGGTCTGTGGAAGCATTACTGGGACCCTGCATCACAATGCATATTGTACTGTGTGTAAGAGACTCGAAACGTTTTTTAGGAAGTTGAAGGTAGGAATATTAAAAATGCAGACTGTTCTTGTACGTGTGAATGGACTGTGGAGCTGGGAAGAGGGTGGTAAAAATCCATTTTATTTCTTTGAAGCTCAACAGGCTCCCAGGAAGGTCCTGTGAACAATGCCAGTACCAGTGACAGCAGGCAGGACGCGCTCCACAAAGCCCCAAAGAAGAAGAGCATCAAGTCCTCCACTGGTCGTTTGTTTGGCAAAAAGAAAAAGGGTCCACCTGGACAAACTGGCAAAGAATCACCAAGACAAGGTGGGCCGGTTTTAGGCAGCTGTCCTAACTGCTGGGATTGGGAGAGCGTGAGCTTTTTCCTATGTACCTGCCACAGGTGTCCAGTGCCCACAAGGAATCATGGCTGAGCATTCTCCAGACAGCCCAGTCTGCCCACATGTGAACCAGAGCAGAGCAGTGGACATTCATTTGGCGTGAATGAATAACCCTCTTTTATGCTAATTTATACGCTTGAACATTTATATGTGTTTGCTCAGAAGCTTACACTTCAGAAATGATTCAGCTCTCTACCTGCAGAATCTTCTTCCTATTTGTGAAACATATAACTTTGCCATGTTAATTTACTCTAAATTTGGGGAATTTTCTTCTTTTTTGTACCTGTTGTTTCTGAAACAGAAAACTCATCTCAGGATGCCTTCCAACTTAGCAAATTGGGAGGAAAGGATGAAAAAAATCATCAACTTCAAAAACAGTAAGCTTTTTGTTATTTCTCCATCTCATGAAACATTTTTCTGAGTTAACAGTCATTCTTAGCTGATTTTAAGTGTAATTTCTAGCTATGTAAATACATTGTCTTTTGAAAGATGAACCTAAAGCAGTGATAGAGCTTTCAGTGATACAAAGAGCTTGCTGCAGCATGCACGCCATAGGTTTGCCTCCATTGACCTAAAGCCTGTTTTAAGCCATCATGTCTGGAGAACAGAGGACATTTGGAAGTCTTAACTGAATTCACACATGTATTCTCAGTCTACCTTTTCAGAGTGTTCTCCCAGGATAATAGAATAGGTAATAGTTAGGCTTGGCCATTTGAGCTCTGGCCGCTGAATCCTGGTTAATTCTCTAGTTAGCTGTGTGTCTCTGACAAAGTTACTTATCCTGTGCTTCAGTTTTCTCAACTGTCAAATGGCAGTTACAGTTGTTCATACATCATGTGGCTGTTTTTCAGTTCAATAGAATTATATATGTGCATGCATATGTTTTATAACATGGACACAATTCCTAAATAAGTTACAATTACAGTCAGGCTTCTGAAACCTTGTTTTCTTTCCTGTTGACTGAGTGCATCCCTCAGTGCCTGAGCAAGGCCCCTGCAGAGGGTGTTCCCTTATGTGTCCAAACAAGGCAGGCTAGAGTACAGGCCTGCTCTGAGCAGGGAGCACATCAGAATCTTGGCTTTCCAGACACAGGTCTGTGGAAGCATTACTGGGACCCTGCATCACAATGCATATTGTACTGTGTGTAAGAGACTCGAAACGTTTTTTAGGAAGTTGAAGGTAGGAATATTAAAAGTGCAGACTGTCCTTGTACGTGTGAATGGACTGTGGAGCTGGGAAGAGGGTGGTAAAAATCCATTTTATTTCTTTGAAGCTCAACAGGCTCCCAGGAAGGTCCTGTGAACAATCCCAGTACCAGTGACAGCAGGCAGGAGGCGCTCCACAAAGCCCCAAAGAAGAAGAGCATCAAGTCCTCCACTGGTCGTTTGTTTGGCAAAAAGAATAAGGTTCTGCCTGGACAAACTGGCAAAGAATCACCAAGACAAGGTGGGCCGGTTTTAGGCAGCTGTCCTAACTGCTGGGATTGGGAGAGCCTGAGATTTTTCCTATGTGCCTGCTGCAGGTGTCCAGTGCCCATGAGGAGTCATGGCTGAGCGTTCTTCTGACAGCCCAGTTTGCCCACATGTGAAACAAAGCAGAGCAGTGGAAATTCATTTGGCTTGAATGAATAACCCTCTCATATGCTAATTTATACGCTTGAACATTTATATGTGTTTGCTCAGAAGCTTACACTTCAGAAATGATTCAGCTCTCTACCTGCAGAATCTTCTTCCTATTTGTGAAACATATAACTTTGCCATGTTAATTTACTCTAACTTTGGGGAATTTTCTTCTTTTTTGTAGCTGTTGTTTCTGAAACAGAAAACTCATCTCAGGATGCCTTCCAACTTAGCAAACTGGGAGGAAAGGATGAAAAAAATCGTCAACTTCAAAAACAGTAAGCTTTTTGTTATTTCTCCATCTCATGAAACATTTTTCTGAGTTAACAGTCATTCTTAGCTGATTTTAAGTGTAATTTCTAGCTATGTAAATACATTGTCTTTTGAAAGATGAACCTAAAGCAGTGATAGAGCTTTCAGTGATACAAAGAGCTTGCTGCAGCATGCACGCCATAGGTTTGCCTCCACTGACCTAAAGCCTGCTTTAAGCCATCATGTCTGGAGAAGAGAGGACATTAGGAAGTCTTAACTGAATTCACACATGTATTCTCAGTCTACCTTTTCAGAGTGTTCTCCCAGGATAATAGAATGGGTAATAGTTAGGCTTGGCCATTTGAGCTCTGGCCGCTGAATCCTGGTTAATTCTCTAGTTAGCTGTGTGTCTCTGACAAAGTTACTTATCCTGTGCTTCAGTTTTCTCAACTGTCAAATGGCAGTTACAGTTGTTCATACATCATGTGGCTGTTTTTCAGTTCAATAGAATTATATATGTGCATGTATATGTTTTATAACATGGACACAATTCCTAAATAAGTTACAATTACAGTCAGGCTTCTGAAACCTTGTTTTCTTTCCTGTTGACTGAGTGCATCCCTCAGTGCCTGAGCAAGGCCCCTGCAGAGGGTGTTCCCTTATGTGTCCAAACAAGGCAGGCTAGAGTACAGGCCTGCTCTGAGCAGGGAGCACATCAGAATCTTGGCTTTCCAGACACAGGTCTGTGGAAGCATTACTGGGACCCTGCATCACAATGCATATTGTACTGTGTGTAAGAGACTCGAAACGTTTTTTAGGAAGTTGAAGGTAGGAATATTAAAAATGCAGACTGTTCTTGTACGTGTGAATGGACTGTGGAGCTGGGAAGAGGGTGGTAAAAATCCATTTTATTTCTTTGAAGCTCAACAGGCTCCCAGGAAGGTCCTGTGAACAATCCCAGTACCAGTGACGGCAGGCAGGACGCGCTCCACAAAGCCCCAAAGAAGAAGAGCATCAAGTCCTCCACTGGTCGTTTGTTTGGCAAAAAGAATAAGGTTCTGCCTGGAGAAACTGGCAAAGAATCACCAAGACAAGGTGGGCCGGTTTTAGGCAGCTGTCCTAACTGCTGGGATTGGGAGAGCCTGAGATTTTTCCTATGTGCCTGCTGCAGGTGTCCAGTGCCCATGAGGAGTCATGGCTGAGCGTTCTTCTGACAGCCCAGTTTGCCCACATGTGAAACAAAGCAGAGCAGTGGACATTCATTTGGCTTGAATGAATAACCCTCTTATGTGCTAATTTATACTCTTGAAGATTTATATGTGTTTGCTCGGAAGCTTACCCTTCAGAAATGATTCAGCTCTCTACCTGCAGTATCTTCTTCCTATTTGTGAAACATATAACTTTGCCCTGTTAATTTACTCTAAATTTGGGGGCTTTTCTTCTTTTTTGTAGCTGTTGTTTCTGAAACAGAAAACTCATCTCAGGATGCCTTCCAACTTAGCAAACTGGGAGGAAAGGATGAAAAAAATCATCAACTTCAAAAACAGTAAGGTTTTTGTTATTTCTCCATCTCATGAAACAGTTTTCTGAGTTAACAGTCATTCTTAGCTGATTTTAAGTGTAATTTCTAGCTATGTAAATACATTGTCTTTTGAAAGATGAATCTAAAGCAGTGATAGAGCTTTCAGTGATACAAAGAGCTTGCTGCAGCATGCACGCCATAGGTTTGCCTCCATTGACCTAAAGGCTGTTTTAAGCCATCATGTCTGGAGAACCAAGGACATTTGGAAATTTTGACTTAACTCACACATTTATTCTCAGTCTCCCTTTGCAGAGTTGTCTCCCTAGTGGACAGAGTGGTTAAGAGTTAGGCTTAGACATTTGAGCTCTGGCCGCTGAATCCTGGTTAATTCTCTAGTTAGCTGTGTGTCTCTGACAAAGTTACTTAGCTTGTGCTTCAGTTCTCTAAACTGTCAAATGGCAGTTACAGTTGTTCATACATCATGTGGTTTTTTTTCAGTTCAATAGAATTATATATGTGCACGTATATGGTTTAAAACATGGACACAGGTCCTAAATATGTTATAATTATAGTCAGGCTTCTGAGACCTTGTTCTCTTTCCTGTTGACTGAGTGCATCCCTCAGTGCCTGAGCAAGGCCCCTGCAGAGGGTATTCCCTTATGTGTCCAAACCAAGCAGGCTAGAGTACAGGCCTGCTCTGAGCAGGGAGCACATCAGAATCTTGGCTTTCCAGACACTGGTCTGTGGAAGCATTACTGGGACCCTGAATCACAATGAATATTGTATTGTGTGTAAGAGAGTTGAAAAATTCTTTAGGAAGTTGAAGGTAGGAATATTAAAAATGCACACTTTACTTGTACATGTGAATGGACTGTGGAGCTGTGAAGAGGGTGGTAAAAGTCTATTTTCTTTCCTTCAAGCTCAATAGGCTCCCAGGATGTTCCTGTGAGCATTCCCAGCAGCAGTGACAGCAGGGAGGACCCACTCCACAAAGCTCTAAAGAAGAAGAGCATCAAGTCCTCCACTGGTCGTTTGTTTGCCAAAGAGGAAAAGGGTCCGCCTGGACAAACTGGCAAAGAATCACCAAGACAAGGTGGGCCGGTTTTAGGCAGCTGTCCTAACTGCTGGGATTGGGAGAGCATGCGCTTTTTCCTATGTACCTGCCACAGGTGTCCAGTGCCCACAAGGAATCATGGCTGAGCATTCTCCAGACAGCCCAGTCTGCCCACATGTGAACCAGAGCCGAGCAGTGGACATTCATTTGGCGTGAATGAATAACCCTCTCATATGCTAATTTATACGCTTGAACATTTATATGTGTTTGCTCGGAAGCTTACCCTTCGGAAATTATTCAGCTCTCTACCTGCAGAATCTTCTTCCTATTTGTGAAACATATAACTTTGCCATGTTAATTTACTCTAACTTTGGGGAATTTTCTTCTTTTTTGTAGCTGTTGTTTCTGAAACAGAAAACTCATCTCAGGATGCCTTCCAACTTAGCAAACTGGGAGGAAAGGATGAAAAAAATCGTCAACTTCAAAAACAGTAAGCTTTTTGTTATTTCTCCATCTCATGAAACAGTTTTCTGAGTTAACGGTCATTCTTAGCTGATTGTAAGTGTAATTTCTAGCTATGTAAATACATTGTCTTTTGAAAGATGAATCTAAAGCAGTGATAGAGCTTCCAGTGATACAAAGAGCTTGCTGCAGCATGCACACCATAGGTTTGCCTCCATTGACCTAAAGCCTGTTTTAAGCCATCATGTCTGGTGAACAGAGGACATTTGGAAATCTTGACTGAATTCACACATGTATTCTCAGTCTACCTTTTCAGAGTTGTCTCCCAGGATGATAGAATGGGTAATAGTTAGGCTTGGCCATTTGAGCTCTGGCCGCTGAATCCTGGTTAATTCTCTAGTTAGCTGTGTGTCTCTGACAAAGTTACTTATCCTGTGCTTCAGTTTTCTCAACTGTCAAATGGCAGTTACAGTTGTTCATACATCATGTGGCTGTTTTTCAGTTCAATAGAATTATATATGTGCATGTATATGTTTTATAACATGGACACAATTCCTAAATAAGTTATAATTACAGTCAGGCTTCTGAAACCTTGTTTTCTTTCCTGTTGACTGAGTGCATCCCTCAGTGCCTGAGCAAGGCCCCTGCAGAGGGTGTTCCCTTATGTGTCCAAACAAGGCAGGCCAGAGTACAGGCCTGCTCTGAGCAGGGAGCACATCAGAATCTTGGCTTTCCAGACACAGGTCTGTGGAAGCATTACTGGGACCCTGCATCACAATGCATATTGTACTGTGTGTAAGAGACTCGAAACGTTTTTTAGGAAGTTGAAGGTAGGAATATTAAAAATGCAGACTGTTCTTGTACGTGTGAATGGACTGTGGAGCTGGGAAGAGGGTGGTAAAAATCCATTTTATTTCTTTGAAGCTCAACAGGCTCCCAGGAAGGTCCTGTGAACAATCCCAGTACCAGTGACAGCAGGCAGGACGCGCTCCACAAAGCCCCAAAGAAGAAGAGCATCAAGTCCTCCACTGGTCGTTTGTTTGGCAAAAAGAATAAGGTTCTGCCTGGACAAACTGGCAAAGAATCACCAAGACAAGGTGGGCCGGTTTTAGGCAGCTGTCCTAACTGCTGGGATTGGGAGAGCCTGAGATTTTTCCTATGTGCCTGCTGCAGGTGTCCAGTGCCCATGAGGAGTCATGGCTGAGCGTTCTTCTGACAGCCCAGTTTGCCCACATGTGAAACAAAGCAGAGCAGTGGACATTCATTTGGCTTGAATGAATAACCCTCTTATGTGCTAATTTATACTCTTGAAAATTTATATGTGTTTGCTCGGAAGCTTACCCTTCAGAAATGATTCAGCTCTCTACCTGCAGAATCTTCTTCCTATTTGTGAAACATATAACTTTGCCCTGTTAATTTACTCTAAATTTGGGGGCTTTTCTTCTTTTTTGTAGCTGTTGTTTCTGAAACAGAAAACTCATCTCAGGATGCCTTCCAACTTAGCAAACTGGGAGGAAAGGATGAAAAAAATCATCAACTTCAAAAACAGTAAGGTTTTTGTTATTTCTCCATCTCATGAAACAGTTTTCTGAGTTAACAGTCATTCTTAGCTGATTTTAAGTGTAATTTCTAGCTATGTAAATACATTGTCTTTTGAAAGATGAATCTAAAGCAGTGATAGAGCTTTCAGTGATACAAAGAGCTTGCTGCAGCATGCACGCCATAGGTTTGCCTCCATTGACCTAAAGGCTGTTTTAAGCCATCATGTCTGGAGAACCAAGGACATTTGGAAATTTTGACTTAACTCACACATTTATTCTCAGTCTCCCTTTGCAGAGTTGTCTCCCTAGTGGACAGAGTGGTTAAGAGTTAGGCTTAGACATTTGAGCTCTGGCCGCTGAATCCTGGTTAATTCTCTAGTTAGCTGTGTGTCTCTGACAAAGTTACTTAGCTTGTGCTTCAGTTCTCTAAACTGTCAAATGGCAGTTACAGTTGTTCATACATCATGTGGTTTTTTTTCAGTTCAATAGAATTATATATGTGCACGTATATGGTTTAAAACATGGACACAGGTCCTAAATATGTTATAATTATAGTCAGGCTTCTGAGACCTTGTTCTCTTTCCTGTTGACTGAGTGCATCCCTCAGTGCCTGAGCAAGGCCCCTGCAGAGGGTATTCCCTTATGTGTCCAAACCAAGCAGGCTAGAGTACAGGCCTGCTCTGAGCAGGGAGCACATCAGAATCTTGGCTTTCCAGACACTGGTCTGTGGAAGCATTACTGGGACCCTGAATCACAATGAATATTGTATTGTGTGTAAGAGAGTTGAAAAATTCTTTAGGAAGTTGAAGGTAGGAATATTAAAAATGCACACTTTTCTTGTACATGTGAATGGACTGTGGAGCTGTGAAGAGGGTGGTAAAAGTCTATTTTCTTTCCTTCAAGCTCAATAGGCTCCCAGGATGTTCCTGTGAGCGTTCCCAGCAGCAGTGACAGCAGGGAGGACCCACTCCACAAAGCTCTAAAGAAGAAGAGCATCAAGTCCTCCACTGGTCGTTTGTTTGCCAAAGAGGAAAAGGGTCCGCCTGGACAAACTGGCAAAGAATCACCAAGACAAGGTGGGCCGGTTTTAGGCAGCTGTCCTAACTGCTGGGATTGGGAGAGCATGCGCTTTTTCCTATGTACCTGCCACAGGTGTCCAGTGCCCACAAGGAATCATGGCTGAGCATTCTCCAGACAGCCCAGTCTGCCCACATGTGAACCAGAGCCGAGCAGTGGACATTCATTTGGCGTGAATGAATAACCCTCTCATATGCTAATTTATACGCTTGAACATTTATATGTGTTTGCTCGGAAGCTTACCCTTCGGAAATTATTCAGCTCTCTACCTGCAGAATCTTCTTCCTATTTGTGAAACATATAACTTTGCCATGTTAATTTACTCTAACTTTGGGGAATTTTCTTCTTTTTTGTAGCTGTTGTTTCTGAAACAGAAAACTCATCTCAGGATGCCTTCCAACTTAGCAAACTGGGAGGAAAGGATGAAAAAAATCGTCAACTTCAAAAACAGTAAGCTTTTTGTTATTTCTCCATCTCATGAAACAGTTTTCTGAGTTAACGGTCATTCTTAGCTGATTGTAAGTGTAATTTCTAGCTATGTAAATACATTGTCTTTTGAAAGATGAATCTAAAGCAGTGATAGAGCTTCCAGTGATACAAAGAGCTTGCTGCAGCATGCACACCATAGGTTTGCCTCCATTGACCTAAAGCCTGTTTTAAGCCATCATGTCTGGTGAACAGAGGACATTTGGAAATCTTGACTGAATTCACACATGTATTCTCAGTCTACCTTTTCAGAGTTGTCTCCCAGGATGATAGAATGGGTAATAGTTAGGCTTGGCCATTTGAGCTCTGGCCGCTGAATCCTGGTTAATTCTCTAGTTAGCTGTGTGTCTCTGACAAAGTTACTTATCCTGTGCTTCAGTTTTCTCAACTGTCAAATGGCAGTTACAGTTGTTCATACATCATGTGGCTGTTTTTCAGTTCAATAGAATTATATATGTGCATGTATATGTTTTATAACATGGACACAATTCCTAAATAAGTTATAATTACAGTCAGGCTTCTGAAACCTTGTTTTCTTTCCTGTTGACTGAGTGCATCCCTCAGTGCCTGAGCAAGGCCCCTGCAGAGGGTGTTCCCTTATGTGTCCAAACAAGGCAGGCCAGAGTACAGGCCTGCTCTGAGCAGGGAGCACATCAGAATCTTGGCTTTCCAGACACAGGTCTGTGGAAGCATTACTGGGACCCTGCATCACAATGCATATTGTACTGTGTGTAAGAGACTCGAAACGTTTTTTAGGAAGTTGAAGGTAGGAATATTAAAAATGCAGACTGTTCTTGTACGTGTGAATGGACTGTGGAGCTGGGAAGAGGGTGGTAAAAATCCATTTTATTTCTTTGAAGCTCAACAGGCTCCCAGGAAGGTCCTGTGAACAATGCCAGTACCAGTGACAGCAGGCAGGACGCGCTCCACAAAGCCCCAAAGAAGAAGAGCATCAAGTCCTCCACTGGTCGTTTGTTTGGCAAAAAGGAAAAGGGTCCGCCTGGACAAACTGGCAAAGAATCACCAAGACAAGGTGGGCCGGTTTTAGGCAGCTGTCCTAACTGCTGGGATTGGGAGAGCATGAGCTTTTTCCTATGTACCTGCCACAGGTGTCCAGTGCCCACAAGCAATCATGGCTGAGCATTCTCCAGACAGCCCAGTCTGCCCACATGTGAACCAGAGCAGAGCAGTGGACATTCATTTGGCATGAATGAATAACCCTCTTATATGCTAATTTATACGCTTGAACATTTATATGTGTTTGCTCGGAAGCTTACACTTCAGAAATGATTCAGCTCTCTACCTGCAGAATCTTCTTCCTATTTGTGAAACATGAAACTTTGCCCTGTTAATTTACTCTAAATTTGGGGGCTTTTCTTCTCTTTTGTAGCCGTTGTTTCTGAAACGGAAAACTCATCTCATGATGCCTTCCAACTTAGCAAATTGGGAGGAAAGGATGAAAAAAATCATCAACTTCAAAAAAAGTAAGCTTTTTGTTATTTCTCCATCTCATGAAACAGTTTTCTGAGTTATCTATCATTCTTAGCTGATTTTAAATGTAATTTCTAGCTATTGTAAATACATTGTCTTTTGAAAGATGAACCTAAAGCGGTGATAGAGCTTTCAGTGGTACAAAGAGCTTGCTGCAACATGCATGCCATAGGTTTGCCTCCACTGACCTAAAGCCTGTTTTAAGCCATCATGTCTGGAGAACAGAGGACATTTGGAAACTTTGACTGAACTCACATGTGTATTCTCAGTCTTCCTTTGCAGAGTTGTCTCTCTAGATGATAGAATGGGTAATAGTTAGGCTTGGCCATTTGAGCTTTGGCTGCTGAATCCTGGTTAATTCTCTAGTTAGCTGTCTGACAAAGTTATTTAGCTTAGGCTTCAGTTTTCTCAACTGTCAAGTGACTGTTACAGTTGTTCATGCATCGTGTGGCTTTTTCTCAGTTTGATAGAATTATATATGTGCATGTGTATGTTTTAAAACTTGGACACAAGTCCTAAATAAGCTATAATTAAGGTCACTGTGGTGACTTCTATTGTTTACACAAGTGGTCCTCCAGAAGCATTTACCGTGATATAATTTTACATTTTATCTGAGATTGGATCTCTACTTTACAGTGTATTATTGAACTATAATCCGCTACTAAATCTTAAGGGGCTGAGGAGTGGAGTATAAGTGAGAGCGTACTGGCTTGACATACCATCCCTAGGCCCACATAAAGATAGATTCTGAAAATAATATATACTGTTCCGAATGATTTTGCATAGGGGAGCACAGGCACCAACATATCAGGGAAGTATGTACACTTCTCTGATGTAGGATTGGTTGTGTAAGCTGATCACACCCAAAACTAGAGTTATAAGTGAACTAGATAGGTTGAGACATTTTCCTAGTGAGATGATTAATAAAATATCAATCAAAAAGCTTTCTGCAACAAAATCAGACAGTATGTAATGTCTAAGAGGTACAATTTGAACTTGACAGTAGGGAAAGTTTGAAAGCCTAAGGTAAGATGGGCACACTGGTCTTGAGAAAAGGTGAAAGTTGGTGGGTTCTTGGATAAATTTGTATATGGGAAACATCAGGTGTCCACTTCTCAGTGAAGCCAGTACTGTGTGGAACTCAGAGTGCAAAGGCCCTGACACTAGCGTTGCACTCGAATCCCTAGGAACCCTTTCTGCTGGAAAGTTATGAAATCTCACTCATTTTAGTTGTCTTCTCTGAATTCATGACTGCCTTTTTTTTTTTTAAACTTCTATTGGTATGTGTTTGCAGTACATAATAATCATGTTGGTTCTTGGGAGTTGATACATGTCCATGACACATTTCTATTCTTTATTTTCCACCATCCTTGTATTTTGCCAGAATCCCATTCATGCATTTCTCTTATAAACCCTTGTCATGTATACAGATTAAAAATAAGACTATTAAAAAGAAATATATATATATATAAGATATATATATCAATATCAATATATATTATATATATATATATATCAAACATACCAGACTATAAGCCAAAACACATATAAAAGATGGAACACAATTGTACTAAGTCGAAGTATTCCTTTAGATATATTTTCCATGCTGAGTTACAATAACTTTTTTCTTCTATTGTCTGTCTTTTATTTCATAGCTAACTTATATATGAAGTTTTTCATATTATAATGAGTCTTTTGTTTTTTATTTTATTCATTTATTTTTTGAGACAAGAATCATACTTTGTAATTCAGGCTGGACTGAACTCACAGCAGTCCTCCTGATTTAGTTGCCCAAGTGGTGGGATTACAGGCATGTGCTACCGCACTTGGCCATAGTAACTGTTTTAAGCAGCTCAACAGTGATGACATGCCATTGCAGGTGAAATTCTGTTATGGAAACATTCTATACAAATACTCAATCTTTGGTGCTCTGTAAATAGAATTTTATAGTACCATTTAACCACAAAATCTGAACTGTGTAAAAGTCTTTTATAATAATTTAAGCAATGAGCAGTTGGCTTTGTGGAGCTTAATATTAAAGCTAGTCATTTTCCCTCTCGAAACCATGCTAAAGAAATAGTGTTGCCTAGATTTTGCCAGTGTCTTTTATTTCACGTGCTCATTTCAATGTAATAAAAACAACAGCAGCAAAGCTTGATCATTCACCCCATTGCCTTCTGAAGTTTATGTTTCATGGAAGAGAAGAAATAATTTTCCTAATATGTTTGGCTATTTTGCTGGGGATGTGGCTCGGTAGTGTAGTACTCTTAGCATGCATTAAGGCCTTAGGTTCAATCCCCAGTACCACAATAAAAGCAAAAAACAGAAAACCAAAATGTTTCCCTGTTGTAAAAATTGACTTTCTAACTCTCAAGAAGTGTGTGTGCACCCTCAGGACAGGCTTTGAATTATTTGCCCAAACACATGATTAAATTGCACACCAGGCATGCATGTTTACAGGTTTGTGTGCGTGCGCGCGTGTGTGTGTGTGTGTGTGTGTGTGTGTGTGGTGGTAGGGAGGGAGATTTCTCGGTAGCAAGGAGATTCAAGTTTATGCTGCTTACTCCAAACATCTGTTGTGGCTGTTTCAAGGTGTCTAAGAATGGGTCTTTGCTCTGTACTTTATAGTTCTATGTGGGATGCATATGTGATTTCTCAACCATAGTAGAAAGTTCATAGGGAAAATTCTAAAGTAGTCATCTGACTATGGTGGGCAGTTTTGTGATATCTGTCAGATAACCTGAATTGTAATTGATTTGAAGAAAAAAAGTATTTTGTGAATACAGGGTACAGTTTAATACTTTGAGCATTATTGTTTTTTTTTTTTTGTTTGTTTGTTTGTTTTTCTGAGACAGGTCTCACTATGCAGTTCAGGCTGGCTTTGAGCTCACTTTGTAGCTCAGGCTGACCTCAAACTCACAATGATCCTCCTGCCTCAGCCTCTCAAGTGCTGGAATTACAGGCATGCACAACCACATCCAGCTACTTTGAGCATTCTTGATGTAATAAAAAACTGTTCTGTGAATACAGAGTACAGTTCAACACTTTGGTACTTTCTCAGAAATACAGTACTTCTTGTGATGAGCCCTAACTTGGCTGTAGGCCATGCTCCTTGCCGCTGAACCACTAGCCTATCACATTGACTGAAGGAGGGTTCCCAGGACTCAGTGCACATGTTGACCAGCTGAACTCATGCTCTCTGAGAATTACTGGAAGAATTTGATGCTCTGCTGACACTTGAGGTGCTCAGTAGTCAATGCAACTATCAGCATGACTCAGACTGGAGTCCGTTCATCAGCTCATAGAATGCTGTGTGAAGTTTCAAAACATGGATCTCCAACTCACCTTTGTCTTTGTAGTGCTCTCCTTCCGGTTGCGTGGCATTGTGGTGCATTTGCTGTGGGAAGTTGGTTACACATGGAGCCATACTCAGTGGTACTCTGAATCATATAGTGTGGAGTGCTGGTGTTACCAGCTTTGGGGTCTCTGCTAAACTTCCCAAGAGTATATTTCTGTTTGGTGAGAAAAGTTGCTTCCATTCCTCACTTGTCAAAACAACACACTGGTCCCCAGTACTCTTCCTCACAGTGTGACTAGCATGTGAAATGTGAGCCTGAGCTGCAGCCATGAGAAAGGGTCTCCTTAGCCCTTGTGCAAGACCCCTGAAGTTGAAAAGTGTCCCATCTCTTGGAAATACAGTCATGTATTTACTATGGAGAGTTAAAGTTCTTGCTATATGTCACTTAGATAATGTTTATTCTGCAGAAACTCGCACAAGCTTCTTGAAATGAAGGGCAGCTTTACCATTGTGCTTTTGCCTACATTATAAAATATATCATAATTCATAGATTACATGACATTTTTTGTACCAGGGATCAAACTCACAACCTCACACTTGCCAGGCAGGCCCTTAAGCTGCTGAGCTAAATCCCTGGCCTTCACGTAACTTTTATTTTACGCATTTGTTCCCCAGAGAATTTAGTGTATTTTGGTCCAAGAGAATACAGCATAGCTGTAGAACACTTTCCTAGTATGCTAAAGCCCTGAGCTCCATCATTAGTATGACAGAATCTAAAATAGCTGCCTCCTCCAACAGTATGTATGTATGTATGTATGTATGTATGTATGTATGTATGCATGTATATACATGTTGGTGCTGCAGATCAAACATAGCACCTTGTGAAGGCTGGGCAAGTGCTTTACTAATGAGCTACACTCAGCCCCCAGTCTCTAATTTAAAGGCAGGAAGGTTCCCATATCAGTTTGCATTAGAGCAGATACTCTGTGTGTGTGTGTGTGTGTGTGTGTGTGTGTGTGTTTTGTTTCTTTTCCTTTTTTGGTACTGGGGATCAAACTCATGCCCTTGCACTTGCCAGGCAGGTGCTATGCTGCTGAGCTAAATTCTTGGCCTCCTTTTCTTTTTTTAAAAAAGGGTCTCACTGTGTTGTTCAGGTTGGACTTGAAATCATTATGTAACCCAGGCTGACTTTCAGCTCATAGCAATTCTCCTGCCTCAGCTTCCAAAGTACTGGGATTACAGGTGTGTACCATCATCCTGGCATTAGAGCAGATATTATAAAAATCAACCCTGGTGTCTAGTGTTTGGTTCTATGGGAGAAGCTATAAGCTGAAGAAAAGAAGCTCTGACAATGTCAGGAACAGAGCAATCTAGTGCCCAGCCACCTTCTGCAAAGGGCCCCAGCTTGGCCTGCCTGTCACATCTATTGGGATATGATATCTCACAGCCCAGGAGCAAGCAAATATCAGAAGAAACCAAAGGGGTTTTCTTCTGGAGTTGATGGATATGACACATCAACATCTAGGATTACTGACATATTATTCAGATGCCCTTGGTGGCTATTCAGTGTGGACAGATGATGGACATTCTGCAGAGTATGCCCCCCCCCCACTGGTTACTATGTTTTTATTTGCTCTTTTTAAATTTTTCCTTTTTTTCCCCTGGGGGCTCCTTATGTAGTCCAGACTAGCCTTGAATTCATGGTAATCCTCTTGCCTTCATCTCCCACATGCTGGATTATAGATGATGCCACCATACCCAGCTTGATTACCTTGCTTGAAGCTTTGGGGCTCAGAGCTGGAAGAGTTATTATTTGGGAAGTTGAGCAAGAAAAGAATGAATGTTGCTAAAGCTTAAATGTTTGCAGCTTTAGTAGAGGGGGAGGAAATAGGTGGTTCTCCTATTCCAAACTAATCATATGGGTAGACGGATAACCTTACCTAAGTGGATAGTCAGGTAGGTGAGTAAACACTGTGAAGCCATTTAGTTCTTGGAGGTCACAGATTTGGACAAATGGGTGTCTGTACTAAGTATGTGCAGTAGCAAGCAAAAGAGATCCAGTTTCAATACCCAGTGTAAAAGGAAGGTAGTTGTGCATATCACCAAACATTGCAAAGAGCCAGAGTAGAGGTGCGCAGAAGTGTCTGCAGGCTCCAGATTCTGCATCTTAACACAGGATCCTTCTGTACACTTTTGGGAACAACTCTCAAGAAAACTGGACTCTAATGTGCCCACCTATCGTGTTAACCAAGGTTAGGTGCCCAATCTCGTAGTCCACAAACTACCTGGTAGGGGAGGTGTAGCTACCTGTAGGTGGAACTTGGGCCAACTCCCCAGCCAGGGTCTTCTGTGTTATTTCCTAACGTCCCATGACTTTTGAATGCATCATCCTACTTCTGCTACCTTCACACCACTCCCACTGCTGCATCTGGATGCAGGTGTAAGGAGGAGGAAGGATGTAAAGGCAACAGCAGTTTATACCAAGCTTCAGGTAGTGGGCCTTGTTCTTGTTTGCAGTACATGTCTGGTATGTACTTTCACAAATTACAGCTGTGCAGTGGTATGTACCTTTAATCATCCGAGCTACCTGGGAGGTCCAGGCAGGAGGGTCATTTATGATGACAATACCATTGTTCTAGGCAACTTAAGAAACTGTCTCAAGATAAAAAGTATAGTACAAATGGCTGGCGGTTTAGTTCAATGAGTGCTTGGTTCCATCCCCAGTACCATCAAAAATAATGAAAACACCAACAAAATCATTTTTAGACTACTGAGGACATAGTTCTTACTTAGTCTATTTGAATAGGCACATAATCTAGAAGTGCTTCTGACCTACAGCAGTAGTCTTCCTCTTCCCTGGCCTGGCCAGAGCATCCAGGACAGACCCTCACTTAATATTACAGAATTTCAGATCTTTACCCAGAAATGGATTTACACTGCTTCTTGGGGTCAGTCAGTCTGTCTGTCTGTCTGTCTGTCTGTCTGTCTCTCTGTATGTTTGTCACACACTCTCTCTTTCTGTGTGTGTGTGTGTGTGTGTGTGTTTCTTGTTTCCTTAAATGAGTCATAGCAGCTCTGTAGCCAGGTTTGGTAGCTGTCTTAGTTACTTTTTACTCATTGCTGAGACAAAATACCTAAAGGCCAAGTTGGGAAAGGAAAGGTTTATTTCTTACAGTTTTTGGAGGTTTCACACACTCAGTTGGCTCCAGGGCATGGCTGGGCCACAGTTCATGGTGGCTGCAAACAGCAAGCAGGAACAGGCAAAGAGCAAGACACACCTTCTCCCTGCCATTACATTACATCCTGGCTCCACCCCTCTGTGGGTATAGCACTGACACCATCAATCCAAGCACTAACAATGAACCATCACAAATGCACAATACAAATACATGAAGCCTGGGGGCCCACAGACATAAACCATGACATTCCTCCCCTGGCCCCCAGGACTCTTGTACATCCTTTATACAAAAGACATTTAGTCCACCACCAAGAGTTTCCAAAGTCTTAAGTTTCAGCATTGCTGAACAGTCCAAGTCCCATGTCTCCTCCATGATCTATGGCAAACTCTTAACTGTAACCCCTGTACAAATGAAACAAGTTTAAACATTTCTCAAATGCAAAGGCACAAAATAAACATTACTATTCCAAAAGTTACAAACAGGGGAATATAAAGCATTGGAAACAAAGCAAATCCAACATCCAGCAGGATGAACATTAAGTCCTAGAGTTCCTTGCTCTGCATCTGAAGCAATATGGTTACAAGCTCCAAAAGGCTTGTGTGATTCCACCCCCAAGGCACTTCCAGGGATTTCACCTCCTGCAGCTTTTCTCTTAAATCCTCTCTGCTTGCTTTTTGGAGCTTTCCTTGGATCGTCCATGTTTCTGGCTTTTCCAAACTTTTGGGGTCTCCACTGCACCTTTGGCTTCACCTTTATGTCTTCACAAATTGCCCTCTCAGGGGCACACAGCTTGGCCTCCCAGGCCCTTTGCAATAGAGGTAGAAGCCATCTTACCCTCAGAATTTGTGCATTTTCCTAGCACCTAAGATCAGCACCATGTGGATGTTGCCAAGGTTTGCTGCTAGCTAGAGCAGTACTCAGGCTTTTCTCTCTCTTGGCTGTAGGGGTCAGTTGCCTGGATCACAGGGCTCTGTTTAACTGATTGTGAGGAAAAGCTTCTCTATGTTGCCACCATTCTGGAACCTCATGTGGCCTGTCACCATTCTGGAAACTCATGTGGTCTCTGTCGCCATTCTGGAACCTGGTGCTCTGCAGCTTTCTCCTCTGAAAAAATTCTTTTACCTTTGCAGTGAGGCTGCACAGGGTGGGGACCTGCTTCCTGGGATGCCCCCGGCCCATCTTTCTTATTTCTCTGTTTTCCCTCAGCCATCAGAATCTCCACTGTCTTTACAATCCACAGCCTTCCTGAAATATTCTTTCTGGCCAAACTCACAGTATTGCAAATTATCCCGCTGAGCTCTTTCCTCTTGATTTGCAACATAAAGCTGGCTAAAAGCCCTCTACAGTAGCCATGCCACAGACTCAACATTTGATTGCTTTTTAATTTCTTTTTCAAGATTAATCAGTCCATTGCCCTTTGTTTCAGTCTCAGGCAAAGTCTCTGGACATGAGCAAAATGTAGACAACTTTCTGCCAACCCATAACTCACATCATGGGGAGTCCAACAACCACTGCAGTCCTTCTTCCCAGCAGAAATCTCCCAGGCCTGGTCTTTACCATCAGGCTTCCTATCAGCCTTCTGGTCTCCTGAGCTGTGACCACTATCTCCTCTACAGAACTGCCTAAGCTGCTCTAGCTCTATGCATCCAGGCAACACATCCAAACCTTTCCAAACTCTGCCCACAAGCCATTTCCAAAGCCATTTCTTGAAAAACATGGTAAGGTATAGTCACAGCAAACAACCCCATTCTTCGGTACCAAATTCTGTCTTAGTTACTTTTTACTCATTGCTGAGACAAAATACCTGAAGCCCAAGTTTGGAAAGGAAAAGTTTATTTCTTACAGTTTTTGGAGGTTTCAGTCCACACTCAGTTGGCTCCAAGGCAGGTGGGCATGGCTGGGTCACAGTTCATGGTGGCTGCAAACAGCAAGTAGGAACAGGCAAAGAGCAAGATACACTTTCTTCCTACCATTACATCATATCCTGGCTCCACTCTTATGTGGGTGTAACACTGACACCATGAATCCAAGCACTAGACAATGAACCATCACAAATGCACAATGAAAATGCATGAGGCCTGGGGGCCACAGACATAAACCATGACAGTAGCCTACTACTTCTTGTACTTAGGAGCACACTTCTGCTGATCTGTTTCTCTGTGAATAGCTTTGCTTGTTTCAACTAGAAAATTGTTGTTGTTGTTGTTCTTCTTCTTCTTTTTTTTGTTTTTTTCTTGTTTCATCTGAGATAACACATTTGCTGCCTTCTCTGGTACAGTTACTCCCTGGTGATTGTTCCTGTAAGCTTAGCGGTAACTTAAGGAACTCTTAGTTGAAGTTGTATATGAAACATTTTACTTAGGAACATAAGTTTCCAAAAAGAAAGAAAAGGGGAAGAGAGACTGATTGACTGAGACTGACTAGGGTTTTTGTGTATCTGAAACATACTTGTCCTTTGTGTTCTAATGTCAGACTTACCATGCTTACAATGTTACTGTTTCACATAACTGTGTTACACAAATCACTTTTAGAGATGTTAGTATAGTAAAAGTGTAACTTGAGTCTTTAGAAATAAAGCATATATGAAACCTCAAATCACATTACGGAGTGCATGCAAGACTCACCTACCCACTTCCCTGCAGTACTGCCTTGGTATTGCATGAGTTTCTGTGCTGGTGATACATTCGGCATTGAAGGAGGTGTTGAATGGCTGGCTAAAGAAGAGATCAATGGGTTAAAACCACAGAATGACCCAGTGACTTATCAAGTACCCGTTTACTTAAAGAGCAGTGTACAATAGAAACTGTCCTCTGTTACTTGTTTGCTGTATTAGACGATAATCTTTTTGTGGTTAAAAGTCTGCATTACAGCTGGGAGTATGAAACACATCTATAATCCAAGCACTGGGGGAGACTGGTTACACAGAGTTTGAGGCCAACCTGGACTACATACATAGCAAGACTTTGTCTCAACATTCCCCAAACCACAACCACCCCCCCAAAACACTGTTTTTTAAAGTCTCTCACAAAATTAGGCACTGATGTCTCAACTGAGGTGTGGTTTCCTCTTCCTAGATACTGTTTCTTCATTGTTGAAGTAGGGTTTCATGTTTTCCCCTAATTGTCTTACTACCTTGGATATGAAAATTCTGCTTGAGTTTTATAAGTTGGTAGTAATTCTTCAATTCTCTGAAGTAATGGTGATTTGACTGGGAATCAAGAGAACTCTGTAGCATTTTTTATTTACTCAGGCGTTCTCCATAGTATGTGTGTGACTGTCATTACAAGGATGATGTTAATAACATTAAAACTGTAGAAGATAAAAGGAACTGAGAATATGTGTTATACTTTTGAAAATGCTCAGAGACTGTTCCATTAACTTGTTGGATGTGTAACAGTGCTTCTTTAATTTGAATGTCTTCTTTTTTACAGGCCTGAGTTGCTGGAGGAAGCCCAGAGGCAAGGCTTACCATTTTCACAGTGGGACGGGCCAACCGTGGTTGAATGGCTGGAGGTACATCCCTTTACTACAGAGACCTATGCTACATGACACAAGCTTGTCATGCATCTCCTGTCTCTACCTGATGTTCTGGTCTTTTCATTCTTCTTTCTAGCTCTGGGTTGGGATGCCTGCTTGCTATGTGGCTGCCTGCAGAGCAAATGTGAAAAGTGGGGCCATCATGTCAGCTCTGTCAGACAGACAGATCCAGCAAGAGATTGGCATCAGCCACCCTCTGCACAGACTGAAGCTGCGGCTGGCCATCCAGGAAACCCTGTGGCTCACCAGCCCTTCGGCTCCACCCACATTGAAAAAGGTATGTTCACAGAGGCTCTGTGTGCCCTCTGTGGAGGAGGAAGGCAGAGCCCACAAAAGCAGTAGCCTGCTAATGTTTCCGTGCTGCTTCCTAATCATACAGGGTGGTTTCAACTTAAAATTTCAGGAAAGCATAGTACAACCCCTAACTTGGAGGGGTTGAGTGATCCAAAGAAAATGTGTGAACTGCTTGTGTAAAAGTGTGGTTAAAGCCAGGCGTGGTGGCACATGCCTGTAGTTCCAGCACTCAGAAGGCTGAGGTGGGAGGATCACTGTGAGTTCTAGGCCAGTGGGTTACAGTGTGAGCAGCTTGAACTGAGTAATGAGATCCCGTTTCAGAAAAGACCAAAAAATAAATAATTAAATAAATGAATAAAACTTGGTTAGAAAGGCCTTCTTTAAGAAAGAAGGCTTTTTGAAAGGTAGAAAATTGATTGTCACAAATGTACGTATGAATTTATCAAAACTGAGTAAGTGTAAGGACCTCTTGAGGAAGGAAAAGTTAACATTTTAAGTAGCATTTCATCCTTGAACTTTGATTTCTATTTCATAGTTCAAACAATAATTAGTACTTGTACGGTATATAAAGGTACTTGCTAAGCAAATTATATGCGGAAAATATTGTTTTTCTTCAAGTATACAGGTAGCAAAATATACAGATAAGCCCAGGAATGTATAAACCCTTGCATACAATCCCCGGGCATAAATAAGCACCTGGCTACGGCCCCTTGGCTATAAACTAGGTTGGGCTGCCCTTACTTTGTTGTGTGTGGCTTCTTTCCTTCAGTCTTGTGCGTGTGAGTGCATCTGCATCACTGCACATATAGGCGGGACTTACAGAGTAACTGTAATTTGTGGCAGTCCAGAGGTGCCACTGACATACAGTTGACATGCTAACAAGGGGTGGTCACCTCCCAGAAATCCACTGGTTCCTGGACAGTTCTAAGCTTCTCTTCTTTGTGGATGTCTTTTTTTCCCTACAAGAACTAAAGGAGGAAAAATGCCGAGTTTCCTAGATGCACTGTGGTTGTGTGTCACGGCACCAGCAGGTGCTCTGGGTCTTGGGAGCTGCATGTGTCTGTCCAACCATGCCTGTGCTCACAAAGATGCTGTCCACTTGGGGAGTAGTGAAGAGCCCTCAAAGAGCTTCCTGGTGACTCTTCTGATGAAACATTGGTGGTTATTAGAAGGGAAGAGCAGGCCAGCTCTTAAGTTGCAAAGTTCAGGGGTTTTTCATTTAGATGTTCAACAAACTCTTAGAGCTGTGTAGACATCCTTCTGAGCAGCAGAGCAAGGTCTGCCTACAGTAACTTTATACACAAAAAAGTGTGAAGATTTTGTTGTTAGAGAATTATGAAAATGAACAATAAGCCTTTTTTTTTTTTTAACGTATGGCCAAAGAACACTTTCCCTTGGTGGAATGTTTTGTAACCAGTATCAGTCTGTTCTGCAGCTATTTCCACATTAATGTGGGCTTTGTAGAAATGAAGATGCTGCATGGCTTTTTCAAAGCTTTTAAGAACCCTCTTTCAAAAGGGAGCTTCTGTGATTCAGTTGAACTATTGGCAAGGACTAGACCTCACATCAGAAAGACTCTCCATATCACCAGTTACAAACACAGAAATTGCTGTTCTTGGGGAGCTTACAGTGGGCTAGCAGAGTGGCCATCAGTCTCAGGTTTGACTCAGATGGTGACAAGTGCTTTGTTTTTGGTGTTTGCATTGTTTGGCTCTCCTGTGCTCACTATCTTGTGCCCTGGCCTCCTGGGCTTCCTCTGGCTTTGGATCATCTGCTGAAAGCAGCCACAGGAAGCCAAGGCCAGAGCATCCTGTTGTTAGCCTGTGTTGGGGTGAGACTGCTTTCTGTGTGTTTTGTTCTATTCTTTTGTTTTGCTGTACTGAGGCTTAAACCTAGTGCTTTGGGAGAGCCAGGCAAAAACCCTATCATGAGCTATACCTCCAACATGGTAAGACTATTGAAAATACTGTCTATTGAATCATCAGTTACTGGGGAAAGTAACTTTTCAGAAATATAAAGTATGTTCTCATCCATACTTTTAAGCATGTGATCTGGAAATTGTGTGCTGTTCTCCTTATATTCCGACCACACTGTTATTGTTTAAAAGAGGATGAGCCTGTGTTAATGATCTCTGGCTTTCTCTGTGGGTGCCTGAAATGAAAATGTGCAAAGAGTGACCTTTGCCTCGTGGCTCCTTACTGTGCCTGTGGCTCATATGTGCGTCCTTCTCCTTTCTGTCACGCTTCCCTTGCCCTGGATGTGGCTGGTGCACTGGGGTCACCTTAGACCACAGGAAATGTCTGGTTAACACATGAAGAGATGGAAACACTCGCAGCCACATCTCAGATGGTCAGTCAGCCCTGCAGCTCATGTTCCAAAGTGGGTTTCCTACTCCAGACCAAAGGGCCCTTTGTCTTTTGTTGAAAACAAAAGTTAATTTGCATTTGTTTCAAATATAATGTGTTCTTTTTAGGTTATTAGCTCATAGCGTATAGTCGTATTTGCATTTTTTAGATTTTTACAAGAATTTAGTTTATAGATTTGCCCCATTTAGAGAAGATGTAATTTGCTTCTCCTTTTGGAGAGACCTCCATTGAGCACTGCGTTGTGGTTGTCTAACGCCAACAGTCTACTGTATGAGGTTAGTTGGCATGGAAAAAGTCTGCTCCTTGCATGGAAAATTGAAATTCTTGGATTTTCATGAGTTTTTGCATGAGGCATTGATATTTTGAATGTTTTTCACTCAGTCAAGGTGCATGTTCCCTGCAGAATTAATTTGCTTACACTACTAAAGTTCACTAATACTAATAGTTATGTTCTTTTACATTCCTAACAACCTAACATCAGGAAGATGAGGAGGGAAGCTGGATAAGGTTGGAGTCTTTCTATAATATTTCTTCACTCTGTAGCAACAAAAAGCAATTGAGGATGTAAACTTGTGTGACCTGCTTTAGTAGGTGTTTTTCACACCTTAATTTATTCATAGTATCATTAATGACTTGAAGAATGTAATCAAATAAATCACAGGATTAAAGATTACATCTCATGGATAATTTTGAACATTTCCCATATGGGATCATGGAAATTACTTTGAATGAAGGTTGTTTTATTTATGAATAGAATCTTTTATACAAAGTCCCCTGGTTTAGGCAACTCCTGAGTTTATGTACATGTAGTTCGTTGCTGGGTTAGTTTTGTTCTAAAATGTACTGCTGAAAAAAATCATGAAATACACTTCTAAACCTGAAAGTTGGCATGGGGCCTTTCCCTCTATGTCTTTATATTGTTATTTGACTAAGTACTGCCCTACTGTGTTGAGTTAAAGATCTTAGTAATGGAGTTCTCAGAAATTAAGGCTTATCACTTCACAGAGATTGAATTTCAGCTGCCTAACTCTTCACTACACAGAAAGCTCTGCCCCATGTTTTACAGTGTCTGAGTCAGATGACTTGGTTAAATTCCCAGCATCCCTCTGCCCTCTTGGGTCTTTGGTGGGCACAGTGCAGTACCAGGGGACTTGTAGTTCTTCAGCTTTTCCCAGGGGCACGGTATTCGGGGGCTCAGAAGAGTTAGCATATGTCTGAAAGCAAGTATAAATGAGTTAAGATTAGAATTTGCTGATTCCAAGATGATGCTTGAAACAGTTGCTTCTGTTTGCATTTCTAAAGGTTGTTCAGTTATAGCACTTGGTTGTTTGTTTTGTTTGTTCATTTGAAAAAAAGAGAGGTGGAACTTGGTGACACATATGGGTCATCCCAGGACTTGGGAGGTTGATCAAGCATGTTTGTTGCAAATTTGAGACCAGCATAGGCTACATAGTGAGTTCAAGGTCAGCCTAAACTACATAGTAAAATCCTGTCTCAAAATTACAAAAAGTTTAGAAACAAAAACTAAGAAGAAAGAGAATAGCTACTAACTGGGTTTCCCTCCCTGGGTTTAGATACTCCCTGCCTCTAGAATCACTTAAATTCACCTAGTTAGAGGTCTCTCTACAGGACCAACAATGACCATCAGTGAATTAAGCAGTGCATTTCATAATTACGTAAGTTTCAATATATTCCAAAAGACAAAGTAGAATATGGTCACCACTTCAATATGAAATAGCATCAGAGACATAAAGTGTAGTTGAATAAGCTTAACATTTGCTTTTTGCAGTGACCATATAAAAGGGGCCCATGCAGAAGATTCCAGATTTACCCCACATGCAATGTTCTGCAGAAGCTTGGTGCACTTTGCCACCATCCTTTCCCAGACAGAGCTGCTAGGACAGAGCTATGCTAGCACAAAGCATTGTGCTTTGCCCGTGCTGGCACTGGGTGGCCTCACTCCTGACTGAGCTTTGGAAGGAACACTCAAGTGTGGTCAGAACTGTTCGCATATCAGATGTAAGATATGACTGGCTGTGTAAGAAGGCTGTGCCAGCTGCCAGGAGCCATTAATGAGCAGGACAGCTGCAGTCCCACTCTCATGGAGCTCGCATTTTACTGACCTTGAGACTGAGTGTGACTTGTCCATGCTTGGAGCATGAGGTCCCTTTGCACACTTCTTCAGAAGGCTGTGGTGGCAGCCAGGGAGAGGAGGAGGCTCTCCCTCAAACTGAGTCTGAGCTGTCAGAATCTGCATTATCAGCAACTGCAAAAGTAGTAAACAGAGATATGGAGGGTTTGCTTCCGCACAGCTTTTTATTTGGAAGATTTCTTCTACTCATTAGAAGAGAGCATAGTCAGCAGGCCAGAAAACATCAAATATTCAGGCTGTGAATCCCAGGCCCATGAAAGTATGACTCAAAGGACTGCATCATGGTAACATTGTTAGGTATCTTAATGGTTACCATAGTGGTATATTTGTCACTCATCATTTAAAGAAAGTTATGAAATCTTTTCTGTTAGAATTGGAACATTCCTCTTAGCTGAGCCATCCCTTGTATCTTGACTGGAACAAATAAAATACTAGAGTGGAATCCATTGTTCTAAACCAAACATGGAGGCCATGCATGGTGGTTTATGACTGTAATCCCAGAACTCAGGAGGCTGAGGCTGGAAGATATCAACTTAGAGACCAGCCTGGGCCTAGTGAGACCCTGTTGTAAGGGGTTGGGGATGTAGCTCAGGTTAGAGTGCTTGCCTAGCAGGTATGAAACCCTGAGTTCAAGCCAGGAGAGGATGGATGGGAATGGATAGTTTTTATTTTAAAGGATTCCTCAATGTACCTTAGGATTCCTGTGAATGTAATTTAATCTTCCTTAGCTGGAGAGCATAACGAACCATTCTCTGTGAAGTGGTTGTATATCATGTCTATTTTTCATTGTACAGACCTTGGACATATTCTGTTGAATTGGTTGCTAAGGATTTTATGCAGTTTAGTGCCATTATATAAGATACTTCTAAAATCTCAATTTCCAGTTCATTTTGTATATTTAGAAATGTTAATTTTTGTGTATTCATTGTATATTCAGCAGCTTTGCTAAATTCATGTATAAATCCTAATAGCTATTTCATAGACTTTTTCAACAATGATAATTGTGTCATTTACTAATAAAGAGAGGTTTATGTCTTTCTCAACTCATGCCATTTTTATGTTTTTCCTGCCATTACAGTGGCCAGGTCTCCAGCACAGCCAAACATAAACGGTGACAGTGGACACCCCTTGTGCTTCTTTCCGTTCAGGGAGACATTTGGTCCCTCATTGTGAGGTTTTTAGCTGCAGGCTTTTGGTAGATGACCCTTAATAGATTGAGGCGGTGGGTCTTTCGTCCTAGAATGCTGAGTTTCATAACTGAATGATGGATCTTGTGCCACATAAGGTATTATGAGACATGGCTTTCTTTGCTGATCTCGTAATTGGGCAAATTTCATTGATTTTTTTTTTTCCTCTTCAGTTGGTGAACCAACCTATTCCTGAGTCAGTAAACCTACTTACCATGATTCCTTATTTTTGGTGTAGTGTAGACTAGTCCCAAACTCGAAATACTTTTGTCTCAGCCTCCTGAGTGCTGGGTTTACAGGCATGCACCACCATACCACACCACAAAAAAGTACGTCCTGAAGCCAGATGTGATGATGAACCCCTGTAGTTGCCAAAACTCAAGAGACTGAGCCCAGAAGTTGGCTGTTATAATGTCCTATGACAATTGGGCATTAAACTAAGATGGACATCATACTAAGAGTGGCATCAATATCTCTTTGCATAGGGAGTGCTTGTGCATAGCCACTGCACTCAATCCTGGTAATATAATGGGAATCTCTGTCTTTAAAGGTTGTGGGGAGGGGCTGGGGATTTAGCTCAGTGGTGCAGCACCTGCCTTGCAAGCATGAGGTCCTGAGTTCAATTCCCAGTACCCCCCCCCCAAAAAAAAGAAAGGAAAAAGTGTAAGTTATATCTGGGTCAGATTGATTGACAGTATTGTTTTTGTCCGTAGCCTTCCTGATTGTTTTCCTTTTCTTAGTCCTTTTTGGTTTTTTGATTGGCACATTGAACCAGTTGTTAAGAGAGGAGTGTTGAAGTCTTCTAAATTTAATTGTATTTTTCTGTTTTTGTTCTTAGTCTCATTAGTTGTTCATTTATCATTTTAAATTTACTTTTCCTGATTTTCAAATACACTTGTCATTTAGGAAGACAAAGTATTAAAAATAAAATCAAAACCAGCTAGAGCTCATTTGAATGATTTGAATTGATTCTTCAAACTTGTTCATGAGTCATGATCATTCTTTATTCCTATATTATTATATTGAAAACTAATTCAGAAAAGGAATTTATAGACAGGTATGATTTTTCTATAGCTTGGTAAATTGTCCTAAATGAGTCATAAAATTTTGCCAATATGATTTCTGTTGGATAAAACTTTAGGAATTTGAAAAGGTAGGAATGGGAGATCAAATATTTAGAAATTATGAAAAGCAATGTTGTCATTCATTTAGCCTTTAAGAATGGTGTCTAGATTAAAAATCTGAACTGATGTCACTCATTTGTTGAAATCAGACACTTGCATATGGGGACATGGACCACGAGTGGATTGGCAATGAGTGGCTGCCCAGCCTGGGCCTACCTCAGTACCGAAGCTATTTCATGGAGTGCCTTGTGGATGCTCGGATGCTGGACCACCTGACCAGGAAAGACCTGCGGGGGCGGCTGAAAATGGTTGACAGTTTTCACAGGTGAGGCAGTGCAAGTGGTTCTTCCTAACGGATCAAGAGACTTCACATTGCCACCATAAAATAACCCCTTATTTTGTAAATAGGAACAGCTTCCAGTGTGGACTTATGTGCCTGAAAAGGTTAAATTATGATCGTAAAGAACTGGAAAGAAGAAGAGAAGAAAGTCAGCATGTAGTTAAAGGCAAGTACATTATGCCGGATGGATGCAGCACATGCCTGCTGCCTCCCAGGCAGCCTGGGTGATTGCCTGTTTGAAAAAGTATAGCAGCCAGCTGAGCTGGCACATACCTGCAATCCTAGCACTCTGGGAGGATATAGCAGCAGAGTCACAAGCCTAGCCCAGGCAGCTTGGACTCCGTGAAACCTTCTCTCAAAATGAAAAGTATAACAGGGCTAGAGATGCAGCTCAGTGCAAATCCCTGTGTTTATTCCTGAGTACCTCAAAAAGAAATCAAGGGCTTAGTGATAAGGCACTTGCTTACCACTTGCATTGCCCTGGGTTTGATCCCTAGGACTGAAAAAAAAAAAAGCACAAAATAATCATACATTTATCTGGGAATTACACAAATTACAGTTCCAGCTACTAAGAATACTAAGGCAGGAAGATCACAAATTCAGGGCCGACCTGGCAATTTAGTGAGACCCTGTCTCAGAACACTAAAACTAGATTTGAAAATTAGGGGTGCTAAGAATGTAGTTCAGTGGAAAAAGACTTGCCTAGCATGCTCAGGGCTCTGGCTTCTGTCTCTAGTACCACAAAAAAATAAATCAGGGAAGACTTTTAAGTGGAAACAACTGGCTTGGCATGATAACAAGAGGAGGGATGAAAAGGGGTGCCCTGAGACAGTGTGTGCTTATCTCAGTCTGTAGGCTACCCTCTTGGTGCTGGCATTCTTTCATGTAGTTTTCCTTTTGTTGTTGTACACTGTATACGCTCTCTCAGAGATGCTGCCTTATGCTATTAGATCAGAGCAAGGCAAACAAGCCACTGCCTTTTGCTTACTGGATAGAGGTTAAAACTACAGCCTTGGGAGCTTTTTCTAAGGCCTGTGGCAGCATGCAGGGCACACAGTTCTGCTCCCAGAGGGAGGGAGAGGTCAAGGCAACCAATAGCCTAGCACCCATAATTTTGTAATTTATTTATTTATTTTGAGACAGAATTTCACTAAGTACCCTGGTCTGGGATTACACCTGTGACCCTCCTGCCACAGCACCCATACTAACTGGGATTGCAGTCCTTACAGAAACCACAGAGTGTCCTGTGGGCAAAGGAAAGACATGTCAGAAACAGGCCAGGAGGTAGGAGAGGGCATGGCAGCCCCCTCAGTATGACAGGGACAGGCATTTTCTCTGAAGACAACACTGAATGTCATGCTCACGAGAGTCTCTCAGAATTCTCGGTAGTTACTAATAGCACTGCAGTGATGAGAAGAAATGAGACTTACTGAATAATGATCAAGCACTGTGTCAAGTCTTCCATAGTTGATTCATTCAGGCTGCATCGTGGTTCTGTTATTTTCATCCTCATTCTGATGTCTTTTTCTAAATAAAATAAAGGATTATCTATTGGCCAGGGATGTAGCCCTGTGGTAGGACACTTGCCTAGTCTGTGCAAGGCCTGGGTTTTAATTCTTTTAAAACAAAGAATACGTTGAGGTCTATTTAGAAAAGAAAGTCATGGCCGGGGATATAGCTCAACAACAGAGCGGCTGCCTGGCAAGTGCAAGGTCATGAGTTTGATCCCTGGTACCAAAACAAAGTTGAGAAAAAAAATCAGACATGAAATGTATTAATCCATTTAATTTGTTTTCTATATCCCCTCTCCATATTTTGTCAGTTGGCAAAAGCAGTCTTTGAAAAGATTGGTGGTCAGATATATTTTTACAGAGTGGCAATTTTTTGGTCTGTAATAGAATACATTTAATAATTATCTTTGTATGATATACGATTGCCAAAATCTAATATGCTGGAATGTCTTTAAAATTCTTTCTTTGTAATATATTAAGATGTTGATATGACCAAAGCTTCAGAAGCACAGGGGCTGGGGTATGGCTCAGTGGCTTAGCACCTACCTGGTAAGCACAAGGCTCTGAGTTTGATTCCCAGTACAACAACAAGAAAAAGTAAAAGAAAACGAAGGTCAGAAGGTCAGAAGCAAAGAGTTTGTGTTGAACTCAGCAAGGTATCTGAACTGTCATGGTATCTGCCCCTTTCATGATGGAGAAGCATTTCAGGAGACTCTGGGGTCTGTGTAGGAAACATGCTTATACGTGCTAGGTCTGACTCTGACCCTCAGCCTGATGTTTTTGCAGTCTTAGGATTGAACCCCAGGCCTTGTACATACTAGGCAAGTGATCTGCCACCAAGCTACATCCTCAGCCAATCATGCTGTATTGTTCCCTGAATATATCCTATCCACAATCTTACTGTGACACCTGAGTGCACTAGGGGAGGCTTCTAAAGGGAAAGTTTTTATTAGAATGAGGCAGAACCAAAACAGCTGTGTCTAGGTGTGTGTCTGTCAGTATTTGTGAGTGTGGAGTCCATTTTCAGGAGCTGAGGGATCAAGATCCATGCTAGGAATCTTTCCCCTGCATTGCAGGACATGTATGATGAAGAGGTTTTCTGAAGCCACATTTACAGTTGTTTTGTTCTTTCACAGATGTGCTTGTTTGGAGCAATGATCGAGTGATTCGCTGGGTCATATCCATTGGCCTTAAAGAATATGCAAACAACCTCATAGAGAGTGGGGTTCATGGCGCACAGCTGGCCTTAGATGAAGCCTTCGATTACAACACATTGGCCCTGTTGTTACAGATCCCGACAGAGAACAGAAAGGTGACAACGGAGTCTGTGCCTCTGTCTGCTTAGCCACAGTGTTCGGTTTTTCTGTGGTTCTAGAATACTTATTTTTCATTTGAATGGAGAGAAAATTTAACTCTAGACAACTAGTAATCACTTTCCATAACTAATCTATAATATGGTAGTTCAAAATAAGCAAATGCTTGATTTTTCACTATCTTTTCTTTCCAGTTTGTGTCGCAAGCATGTGAGTCTTTGAAGTCTTTGTTTTAAAAAATTGTAATGTGTAACATCCTTCAGATATATTTAGTTGTTGTTTTGTTACTTCAGGCTCGAAATGTCTTGGACAAAGAATTTGCCGACCTTTTGGTCCTTGGGACTGTCAGACGTTTTGATGTTGTAAGTTTTCAGCTTTTTTCTCCTCTCACTGCTAGGAATCAACCTCAGGGCTTCACATATGCCAGTTGAGTGCTCTACTACTGATCCTTGCTCTTGGTCCACTACTTAATTTTTGGCAACCTTCAAAAATTATTTCTATATTGTCAAACAGATTGCAGCCTGCGATCAAAGTCTTAAGTTGTGTTTTGGTGACAGCTGACTGTCCTGCCCCAGTTCTTCTGTTTGGAAGGTTTCTTTCAAAAGTATATTAAATTTCCCCTCATGCTAAATCATAACTAACCTGTTGCCATACATTACGATTGTCTTCAGTGAGCTCCAAGAGTACTTGATTTTCACAAAGAAGATGGAAGCTGAATCTGGAAGCAAAGCATTTGTTGGATTATTTGTAGCCAGAATATTTTGAAAATAAATAAAAGTACATTATATAGCAGGCAAGAGCTTGTCCACAGTAAGAAATAAAATATTCTGATGGGTGAGAAAATCACATCCCTGGTGCCCAGGACTGCCCTCGTTTCTCCAGTTGGGGCCCAGCAGGAATGTAATCATGTTTCCTCTCACACTGAAGTTCCAGTGTGTGCAGCACATTGGAAGGTCACCAGGAAAGGCTAAGTAAAGCAAAACAGTCAGGGGCTTAGGAGTCCTTCTGAAGGACAGTTATCTTTATTAGAGTGTGCCTGTTCTGTGTTTTCATTTGCCAGGAGCATGACAAACACTTTAGGAGAGCACCTTCATGGAGAGAGAAGGTTAGAGAAAAGGCCATTCATGGCGTGGCAACTGGGTCATCAGAGACACTCCCTGCAAACTTCCGAGTCTCTTCTTCCAAGTCTTCCCACTCTGTGCAGCCCAATGAGATCCAGATGGATGGTATGTGGTGGGCCATGTAATGCAACACTGGCTGGGAGCATGTGCGCGCTAATAATTACCTAGAGTGGCCATTGTATGTGTTACAAAGCATCTGAGTTTGGTTGCATGCCCAGGTGTCAATGGTTCAGGATTAGCCCTAACATTTGTTGGAAAATGGTTAACAACAATAATAGAATTTTTAAAAAATCTGTCTGGTTGAACCTTAGCATCCTTGCCCAACTAATAAAGTGGAGCACCCATCTGTGCTCTCAGGGCTGAGGCTGATGCACCTGTGGGGTGCAGTGTGTGGCAGGCAGCACTGGCTTGCCAGGAAAATTGCAGTGTGACACTTGGGACTTCTCTCCACACTAGAAGAAATGGCAGAGTAAACTTTAGCTCACAACTTCCAGCTTCTGCCAACTCTGTCTTTCCTTTTCCCTTCCCTCCAGTGTTATCTTTCCATATACTTACCTTGTGCCACCTGAAGAGGGACAGGGAAGAAGGCAGAAGCCTTGTGGAGACCGCTAGGGCAGCCCTGCTGCCTTCTCAGTGAGAGATGGCAAGGCATTGACCTTTCCAGTGCAGTCGGGATGGCCCTTATGTAACTGCTGACTGAAGAGTGCAGTTGGCTGAGAGGAGACCTTGAGTCCCTGACAGTCCTGCCCACCTAGTAAAAGGCACTGATAGGGTCCTGAGAGAGCCCACATCCACATCCAGCTCTTGTGGTAGCAGGGACATGACCTTGAGCAAGTCATGCAGCTGTGCTGTGCCTCAGTTTCCATATCTGTAACTTGGGCATCATAGTAATGTGATTTTGATGCTTCAATGTGTCATGTGGGTGAAGCTGATGGAGTCCTGAGCCTCGTGCATTGCTGACAATCTCAGTGTTAGGTGGAGACTTCATTCCTTCTCATTCCTGATGTACATGGTTGTGCTGTATAAACTGTACCAGTGGGGTTGTTACAAGTTTCCTGTTGTTAGCCCCCTGTGTAGGTAGTTTTCCTTTTTTCTCTTTCTTGCCTGTATGAAAATCAGAGAAAAATACATTTATATAAACTTTTTAAAGCTGAACACTTTCCAGTGTGTCTTTTAACTAGTAAGTTCTTAAGAATTAACACTTTCTCCCTCAAGGTGTCTTACAAATGTTGGCAAGGCATGGAAGTGCATGCCTGTAATTCCAGTACTTGGGAGGCTCAGGCAGGAAAATCATGAATCTGAGATGTATGTGAATCATAAATCCAGGTTAAGGCTATACTGAGCTTCATAGGAAGACCTTGTATCATAAATAAAATAGATAAGTAAGTAAGCTGTGACGGGCCTTGAGCTTAATTTCCATTGGCTTACTAAATAGTCTAAATGAGTACTCTGTTGTTTTCCCTGTACCTTCAATTTCTGTTTCACTATAAGAATCACATTTTCTCTCTGAACATTGCAAGCAATATTAACATAGCTGGGTGTGGAGATCACCTGTAATCCCGGCACTGGGGAAGCTAAGGCAGGAAGGTTGCTGAGAGCTCAGTACCAGCCTCGAATTCACAGGGATTGTAGGGCCAGTGTGAACTACACAGGGAGACCTTGTTTCAACAAAACAAAACAAAAATAAAGGGTAGTATTAATGAGTCTGTTTGTTGTTGATTTGTTTTTTTGGAGGCATTTTTGTGGTTGTGGTTGTTGTTTTGGGGTTTGGGGTGGTACTGGGGAGGGAGCCTTCTACCTGTACTACACACCACCCCTTCTTTTATTATCCAGAAAGGGTCTTGTTAAATTGTCCAGGCCTGGTTTGAACTTGGAGTTTTCCTGCCTCAACCTCCCAGAGTGCTAGGATTACAGGCATGTGCAGGCAAACTGTGTAACACTAAATTTAAATGGATTGAATAGAAAAAGTTGTCAGGGTAAATTACATAGAAGATGTCTATGCCACATTGGTAAGAAGGTGGACTGTTACAAATGACTTGCGAGGTGGAGAGTATAAGATAAATTACAGTATGTCTCCTAGACTTTAGAATGAAGGTTTACAATGACTGCCCAGTCTTACCAACACGGCCAGCTATCTGTCTTTTCTAGAGCTATGGCAAGATGTTGCTAAGAAGTATTCCTGGTATACTTGCAGGAAAACAAAACACTGTACAACTGGGAGTGTAAATATCTGCAGAAGATGTTGCAAGCTCTTTACCCAGTTTGTGACAGGGCTGTACTGCCTGTTTAGCCACCCAGTGTTTGTCAAACAAGGACCCCTGCCTCCGTGTTCTCCATCCTTTTTTGTAGAAACTGAGACAAGCTTTAGTCTTCTGAGAAGCACTGGCCATGGCCTCTGGGCTGTGCCTCTTTGCCTGCAACCCACCCTGAGAGCAGTGCCTGCAGAGCAGCTGGGGTTCCCTCCTCCCCTTCGTGCTGCTGATTCACCCCATTCATTCCTGGAGGTCTAGCTGTAGGGCACAAGGAAAAGTCCAGTTGCTATATCAAAGTGTGGCTTAAGGAGCTGCAGAGTAGCTATGTTAGGTGGTTGTCCTTTCTGTATGTGCACACTGAGGTGGTTTGCACTTCTAAGGGGCCCTATTGCTATTTTAGGTGCCAGTGTCCCCTTGGGTGGTGACAGAACCACTCTGGGCAGCCCTCTGATGCTCTTGCCTCACTCTCCCAGGCAGTCTTAGGATTCCTCAGTAGACACCATTGTAGGTGTGGAGATGTGTGTCTTACCTGTGCCCCGTGTGAAGTGTTAAAACTAACAGCACTTTGTTTTTGCACACTTCCTCTCATGGTTGTTGGAACAGGCAGTGTATCAGAAACACAGAAGTTGGATTCTGCGACAGTCAGGACTTCCTCCCGTTAAGCCTCCTGTTGGTGAGTAGAGAGCAGCGTAATCCCTGGAGATCATCCCTGTACAGCAGGGTGAAGCTGTAACAGGGCTAACAGTGTGGGTTTAGACCATGCCAATTTACATGGGGAACTTCAAAATGACAGAAATAGTAGCTCTGTACCCATCAAGGCGATTTTGGTTTTTAGCTGACCATAAAGAGGGCTGTGTGTCATTTTTGTTCTGTTAACTTTTATTTTTATTAGTAAGTTAGTTGTACTTAAATTCATCATGGAGAGTTGGTACCTGTACTAGGACATCTTAAATCTTTTTACCTCCCCTCTCCTGTGTCCCTTGTGTCTCCAGTTTTAAAGAAAAACACGTGCCACTGAGTAAATCCTGGAAAAACAGGACTTTTTGTCTTGTAAGCTGACAATAAATTGCACCTTGAGCAATCTTGCATCTTGCCTGATTTAGGAGCCCAGTTCTCAAATGATCTGTTTTTGACAGTGGGTTATTACCGAGATCCTCCTTTACCATTCGTTAATATTTATCTAACTTTGCCTGTCTGTATTTGTTTTATGAAGTTGGGCATGTTATTATTCAGTGTGTTTATAATCGTCATCCCTTCCTATGGAATTATTCACTTCACCTATGTGTAGTGACTTTCTTTGTCTCTTCTGACTAGTTTTGGCTTGAAGTCCACTTTGTCTAAAGTTAATATCACTACGAAATTTACACATTTTGGGTTTTGTTGTAAAACAGAGAAAAAAAGTGATCTAAAGGATACAACTGCAAGTGTGTTTAGGTGTGTTAAGATAAATGAACATATTACTAAATTTTTGTTGGATCACTGAACACAACTGTTTGCAGTCTCACTGTTTGAATGTCCACTTTGTATGCTTTAATACTGTAACTTGAACAACCATTTCTAAGATGACAATATGTAATCTATTATAATTTCTTACCTTTTTTTGCAATTCTGTATTACTTGTACCATTATACTGTTTTTTCTTTTTTTTTCCTTTTAAATAAAAAAAATAAAGTTAGGATCACTACTTCTTTCTCTTTTCCTGCGTGGAATATTATTTTCCATCTTTTGATCTTTAATCTGTGAATTTCTTTTTGAGTTAAATGTGTTTCTTGATTCCTGCGTATCATAGGATTTTGTTTCTGGATCAGTTCTGCCAGTCTGTGTCTTTTGGTGGGGAATTGAAACCATTTCACACTGAGAGTTTTTACTGAAAACTATCGACTTATTCTTGTTGATATTCCTTTCCTTTTTTTTTTTTTTTCTTTTGCTTAACTGCTCATCACACCGGGTATATTCATTCTTTTTGATTTATTGACATTGTTGGCTTTATTGTTGTTTTCCAGAAATACCCTTAAAATTTTTGTTTCTTTTTAAATCTATTTTACTTTAAAGAGAAAAAAAAGAAAAACAAACAAAATTTCAAAGCACAATAATTAGAGATTGTTATCTTCAAGTCAGTTGAAATTTTTTGGTAATGCTGGTTTGGTGGCCATGAATATCTTGTCTTCTTGTAATGGAAATACTTTATGTCTGCATCAGTTATGAAGGAGAGTTTTGCAGGATGCATAAGTCAGGTTTGGAAGTTATCTTTTAGAGCTCAAAACACTTCAGTCCTCCTGGCCTTGAAGTTTTGTGTTGAGAGGTCTGGTGTAATTTTAATGCGTTTACCTTTCCATGTAATTTGTTGCTTTTCTGTAATAGCACTTAAGAGTTTGTCTCCTGTGATAGGTTTCTGGTACTAAAAGTATAATAAGCTCTCTTTTGATCATGCCTCACTTATTGGTGTGCTTGTTTCTTTTCCTGTATTTGGGGAGTTTTCTGCCATTATTTCAGTGAATATTTTTATGCTGTTAGTGTTATCTTCTGATTTATCGCTTTTTCCAATTACTCATAGGCTTTTTTGTGTCATCCAGTGGTTGAGTCCATTTTTCATGTTGTCTTGTTGGTTTGTGTAGTTGGTCTCTGAAAGCACCACTGCCTTCGAGTTCTGAAATTCTGTTCTCACACTGGTCATTTCTGCAGCCCAAACTTTCAATATAATTTTTAATCACCTGGATTTCTGATTTTAACCTTCTTATGGACTCCAATTTTTTTTCTAAACTTGTCATTATGGTTTGTATAGTTTTGTTTAGCTCAGCTAGTTTGTTATTTGTGTCTTCTGGAAGCGTCTGGATCACTTTGGTTATTACTTCCATTATCTGCTTCGTTATGTCTTCTGTGGTCCCTCTGTGTACCTCTCTGATCTGTTTTCCAACCTCCTTTGAAGTAATTCTCATGTGTGGCTTATCCTGTTCTCTATCCCCTGGATTGGCTTCATGGAGCTAAGAGATTCTGGAGGCATTCTGTTGCCTTTTAGTCCCCCGTTTCTCTTGGGCTTTTTGTTTTATTTTGTGTTAAATTTATGGATGGTTTTAGTGTAAAGACTTTGTTGCTAGTGTAGAAATCTTTTTAAATGGTCACTTTTAGTGACATATTTTGGGCTAACTACAGTGGTACGTCAGTTGACAAATTTAATCTGTTCCCTGATTCTGGGAAAAATGGCCACAGTTGCATCTGTCTAAAATAGATGGCTGCAGTCATGTTGGTCACCAGATGAAGAGTTTGTAAACAAACAGAATTTTGCCAAATGCTTCTGTTTGGAAACCAAATTATTGACAAGCAAAAGCATTTGTGAACTGAGCTACCACTGTGACTCAGGCAGAGAGGTTTTTATGGGGTTTCAAACGGGAAGTAGAGAGGTAGAGTCCGTGGCTGTCTTTGATTGGTTTTTGTAATATGTTTGATAAGACCAGCTGTGCATCACAGTGACCAGCTGGTTCTAAGAAACAGAAGTAGCAGGAACTGATATCTGGGCAACTAACAGAAACTCAAGTACACTGGCTGTGGGAGTGTGGGGATGTTTCTGTCACTCTGCGATGTGGTTTAACAAGTGTAGATCTCTTTGCAATACCTCAGACCACTGAAGCTGTGAAGAATATGATGCCTCACATGTAGCATTATTTCCTCAGAATATGATGTTCAAGGTCATTTTCTTAGTTCATCAAGCTTGATTCCCAGTTCTTCCCATCCTCTTGCCTAACCCCATCCTCAGGCAATTACAGCACACAAGCCTTTCTGTACCTTGCAGCAACTCTCCTCTCTTGTACCTGACATCAGGAGCTTATTATTCTCTTCTCAACTGACTCGGTGACCACACCAAGTAATAAAAAAAAATCTCTATCAGAAAATGAAATAGTTTTACAAATACTAATGAGTTCCTTAAATACAACAGGGCTCCACTGACACTTTTTCTGGGACATACTCTTAAATAGAAAATATTCTCATAGAACAAACTAAAGTATATGTAACTCAACTGAAACTATCCCATGCATATTATCAGATCACATAACAATGAGATTGGAAATCAATGGCAAAGGAAACCAAAGAACTAGTACACAGATATAGCTCAGAGACATAAGTGCCTGCCTGGCAAGTGCAAAGTATGGAGTGCAATTCCAGATACATAAAAAGAAAGGAAGGGATGAGAGAGAGAGAGAGAGAGAGAGAGAGAGAGAGAGAGAGACAGAGACAGAGAGACAGAGAGAGACTGAGAGAAAAGGGATAAACCACAAGTGCTCCATAAACAAATGGAAATTAAATAACACCATCCTAAAAAACCAATGTGTCACAGATGAAATTAACAAAGAAATTGGACAATTTATACACTTAAAAGATAACAGTAGTACAACCATACTTGAAATTACAGGACACGCTGAAAGTAGTCCTAAAAGGGAAATATTTAGCATTGAATATACTTATCAGGAAAACAGAACAAGCTCAAATAATTAACTTACTGTTGAACCTCAAGCTTATAGATAGAGAAGAGCATGTTAACGCTGAAGATCATATGAAGGAGGAAATTATAAATCATAACAGAAATTAAAGAAATGGAAACTAAGAAATCAAAGCAAAAATCCATGAATGCAATAGTTGCTTCTATGAAAGATTAAATAGGATGGAAAAAAACTCCTTATCAAAAAGAGGAAGGAAAAGACTCAAATCCATGAAGTTGGGAATCAAAATGGTGAAATGACAACAGATCTCACAGAAATCCTAAAAGTTCTCTGTTCCTGCCTCAACAATTGGCAGCTAGTAAGAGACAAATGGAGTAGAAATAGAAAGATTTTTTGATACATAAGAATTACCATAGCAGGATCAAGAGAACACACATATTCTAAATAAACCAGTTTCAGTGCCAGTATGTCTTAAATGCTATAATGTTCTTTGTGGGTAGATATTACCATAAACTGTCCTTTCTTTACAGTTCAATGTTCGTTATCTCTATTAGCAGAAGTTTCTAGCCCAACTGACCTACAACATTCAGCAGAAAAACACAGGAACAAAGAAACACCAGCCAATAAGATGCCTCAAAATTTTACACCTCCCCAATAGCTATCTGGCAGTTAATAAAAATAAAATTCAGAATGAAACCAAAAATGAATAGAGGAAAATAAAATGATCATAAAACACAATGCCATGTCACACTGTCAACATCATTTTTCACATAGATTAAAATTTTGATTCTGACATTTCTGTAAAAATAAAATGACTCTAAATAGTCTAATCAACTTTGATAAGGGAAAAATTAGAGCTCCAACCCTGCCCAACACAAATGGTTCTAAATATATAACCTAAGCATCACAGAGGTCAATGAAAGGCTGGAGAAACACAGTAAGGTCTAAAATTCTTATTCCCTCAAATTACTGCACAAAACTTTCAAGTCTAGGCACTGAAATGGATGTCCAGATAATGAGGCATTTAAAACTCCAAGTAGCTACAACCAGAAAAGAAACTGTCCACATTGCATTGTGGAAAAATCCAAGAAATCACAACAAAGAAAAAACACTAAAATCCATTAGAGAGAAATATGAAATAACTTCTAAAGATAAACCTCTAAGAATAACTGCAGATTTCTTAACACAGATTATCAGGCCAGGAGAGATTGAAGGAGTATATTAAATTAGAATAAATCAATGCACATAATAATTACCTACTAAAACATATTTCCAAATTTACAAAGAAATAAAGAATTTCCATGGCAAAGAGTCATTTAAGAAATTCATGATGAGCAAACCAGCTACAGAAACATTGAGAAGTTAATCAAAAGAAAGAAACCAGTAAAAGAAAATAATACAATGGTGGGAATGAGACAGTGTGTTTCAGTAATAACTCACAATTTAAATAGCTTTACCAATGATTCTTTAAGGATCATGGACCACAAAGTCAGAGATTCTAGAGATTCAAAAATAGAGCCAGGTGTAGTGACTCCCACATGAAAACAGCACTGGGGAGGCTGAAGCAGGCAGATCACTGCAAATACCATGGCAGCCTGAGCAACAGAGTGAGTTCAAGGCTGTCCTGAACTGCATAGCAACACCCTATATCAAAACAGACCCAAAAAATTGATAACTCAACTATGAATGAAAATGGTACAAACTACACACTTGACAAGCTCTATCTAGAGTGTGGACTTGTTAGCTGTAAAAAACATTCTGAAGAAAAGAATTATAAAAGAAACTGTGCAAACAACTAAATTTTCATTTTGAGTGATCAAATCGTTGGACACAAGTGACAGTTAATATAACGTGTACCCTCAGGAAACTCCAGAAGACATCTATGTCTTACCTTTTAATTTTGTAAATTAGTTTTCTTTGAAAGAAAACACTAAGTCATTATAAATGCATCATCATTGTAAAACTGACCACTTGAGAGTGGTTTTGCTTTTATTAGAATGGACTTGAAAGTTTTCTTTTGATCCAACTAAGTGGATGAAAAGCAAAGCATTGTTGAAATGAATCCACTTGCTATTTGGAGTATCTGAGGATACTCATTGCACTGTGAGGTTAATTTTCTGCCAAATGAGTGATCATGGTAATAGATGTAGCTTTACAGCTTGTTTTCCTTGTGTGGTGGCCCTGGGCATGCAATCCAGAGCCTCTTGTAAGCTAGGGGAAGCCTGCTCACAGTGACCTACAACCCCAATGCATTTGAATCTTTTTTAAAAAAATGATCTTGCTAATTTTTCCAATTTGACCACAAGTTCAAATTGGAATTATAGCCATGGGCCAGTCTACCCATTTGGCTTTAGATCTTTATATAGACAATAAAATTTGATTTTATACTCAGGGTGTGAAAGGGAAGAAATTTAACTCAGCCTAGATGAGGATTTGGAGGATTATTTTATAATATTCACCCAAAGAGTCCAATGCAAAACTGTGGGGGAGTTTCATGCACACACTAGACATGCAAAGAACTCAGGTAAGGCCTATATCCCATGGCACTGTCCTTCATGACACTACTCCAGCTAAACACCTAGAGCCCATGACCACACATATGCTCAGCTTATGCTCACGTAATACCACACATAAGTTCAGCTTAGAGGACACGACAATATCTCATGCAAGTCTGTGTCAGGAATCTGCACTCAATGGACCACAGGTCAATGGTGGAAACCAGAAAGGCCTTCCCAGCACAGTGAAGGATCAGTGTCATCAGGGAGAGACCTCTGCTTTGAAACCAGGAAGCCAAGTTGAGGATACTCATATTATGAAATAAAGCAGCAATAGGCAGATTGGTGCTTGAAAAGAACCTCAGCCATCCTCAGTGACAGGACAGGAGCTGCTCTGACAATGAGGACAGGTAAGTTCATATCAGGAAATACAGCGATAATAGCTTCTCAAGGAGAATGAACAGCACCATCTTCCTCTCCAGTTCTCCTTTGAGGCTGTTGGCAACAATCATCAGGTGTTCTTTCCATATCAAGAGCCAAGCTGACTCAATTCAGCCGAGAGTTTCAAGTTGCCCATTCATGAATTCAGCACAGGGCTGCTCTCTCACAATGTGGGAGGTTGAGACTCTACTTTACGTCAATTCCCTATCATTAACACAGTTTCACTGATTGGAATTGCTCTTCAAACAAGGAACAGACTACATGCATCTAGAAAAGGTAAACACCTACAGGTGACACAAAGTACATAGGCTGATTGTGAGAAGTAGAAAAATGATTTAAATGCCATACCTGTGTGTTCTTTATGACCACTGGGGTGATGTTTTATAGGCATTACAGAGGATATCTGCCATACAATCACCGCACACTGTCCTGACTCCACGTTTTCCTGAAAATCAGACCTAAAAAGAACAAAAAAGTTGACAGTCCAAATCTGCCTATTGCTGCTTTATTTGCCATTGCAGAGTACCAGTCAAGCAGGAGAGCAGTGAGGCATCATCTTCATAACAGTGGCCATCCCCAAGGCAATGATCAGCAAGGGCTGATTCCCATTAGCTCTTTCCAGTTAGGTCTTACTTTCAGACATACACACTCTGTCACTAAAATGAATACTCTACTTTGGTACTAAGTTCATTAGCTCAGGATGAATAATTAATCACCTCTCTGCACATGAAAGCATCCAACTGGTATGAATCCACCACTGCTACTGCAGAAGTAAGACTCTGAACCAAACATTTATATCTCTAAGGGAAAGTTACTGTGAAATTTTCTAGAAAGTTGCACTACTTTCTAGTTAAATGGAGATGAAAATAGACTCAGTAAAGAAAAGCACACTAAACTTCACAACTGTCTACATGTAAATCCCCAGCACAGTATCTTCAGAGAAAATGCTCCTTCAATGGAAAAGACCCCACAGCACTGTGCGTACCACACACAAAATGTCAATGTACACACATTGACTTAAATGTGAAGATACCACCAGGGCCTCGTATCACCAAAAGGCATCCTAGTTGAGCTGTTTCTAAGTAGCACACTGGATTAGAATAGAGGGTGTGAGGGGCTGGGCATTTAGCTCAGCAGTGTGAGCACCTGCCTTGCAAGCAGGCGATCATGAGTTCGATCCCTGGTACCGATAAAAATGAAAAAGACCAAAAAAAAAAAAAAAAAAAAAAAAGAAAGAAAAAAGAAAGAAAGAAAGAAAAAAAGAATAGAGGGTGTGTGTGGCTGTAATTCCAGAACTCTAGGCAGCTAAGCCAAGATTTCAAGGGAGTGTCCAACCTGATCAATCTTGTGGCTTAGAGAAATATTCAGTGTGTATCTGAAAAAATCAGTCTGAGGATACACCTATAATTCATTGTGGAGACACACGGTACAAACTCCAGGAATGCAAAAGTAAGAAAGTAATAGACAGATGATATATAGATCAAATTATTCCTGTACACTAAGATAAGATACAACAAAATGTGTAAGTAGCTAGATTATTTAATAGGAAGAGAAAGATGGGCAATGGAGGAGCTTAGACTGGTGAGCCCGCTAGGGGCACAGAACCCTAAAATGCCACCTCACTTCCTTGGCAACCTGACCAAACAGAACTGGGATCTGATGTTACCAAGCATCACAATGTAGTCACAGCAGCCTCCTGAGCCCACTTGCTCAGAGACGCTCAACAGTGAGCAGAATGGGCTGCTTCTCCACATAATGTAGCTGCAGTTTTAAAACCCCAGGCAATGAAAGTTTATGTTAAAGCCTGAGGAGACTGTTTACTTCATCCAGATGGCACAGTGCACCTTGTGGGATCAACTCAACCCTCCAGGACTCCCTAAGGAAGGTGTCTCCAGGATGACCTCAACTGATGAAGAAATCCAACATAGCCATGTGAATTCTCCCCAAGCCCAATTTCCTACAACGTCACAAAGCTAAAGATCACAGAGGAAGTTTCACTGGGCCAGGAGACTCGCAGTAGCTTTGGACAGGTCTCCCGACAGGCATCCACAAAACCTTAGAAACCAAAGAAGTCCAGGCTGGGAACAGAAAACCACAGCCACCAGACCCTGAAAAACACTAAGAAACCCAGTGTCCTTACACCCTGAGCCAATCCCTTATGAAAACCACTTCATAGTTATATCTTGGCATAACTGATGCCATGTAGACACCTGCATTTAACTAGTGCCCTGTATTTGACCCAGGAAAATGGCAAATTACTCAGGGTAGAAGTCTAAAGAGAGAAGCATAATGAGCTGTACCACGAGAGAAAAATTAACCTGCTCAATAAAAGAAGCAGGATGCAGGTGTCAACCAAAAATTAATGTAAATTGTAGCTAAATTTTTTCTAACAAGATATCTTTTGTGGTTCTCTATTTTAAAAGCTCTGTAAGTTTCCAGTTCAATGCCACTTATTTGTACTCTGAAATGGGGAAAGGTTCAAGTGGTCTTGAACTCAATTAAATTTCAAATTCATCAGTTTGGCTACTTGTATTCCTATATTGTTGTTCACGAACCCACGTCATTTGGGGTCTCTTGATTATAGGATCCAAGTCTCTCTTTGAGGCAATTGTTACTCAGGGGAACTACAAAGAGTTCTTCCTTGCCTCTGAGGTCTCTCTATTTTTCATAGAGAAACCAAAACCCCTGGATGTTAATTTGGAGGGAGCACTCCAGATCCTTGCGAGTAAGATTGTTTCAATTTTTGTTGGGGTGCCCCTTGTGAGTCTTTGGAAATGTTGGACACAACATTAAAATCACGTTCATTTGTTCTCAGAACAAGAATTTGGCTGAGACTAGTAGGTCATAAGGTAAAACTAGTTCTTGGTGTCAGTCTGTTCATCTGTGAATTTGTTTTGTTAATCTTGTCAATGGTTTAATGTTTATTATTCATCTGTTATTTGTGTGACTGGGTCACACTGCTTCTGCTTTTTTGTTGCCCTGCATTGTGTTCAAAAACATCTTCAGGAATTTCATTGGAGAGCCTCTTCCTATGGTGAACTTGTTTACCCAGAGAAGCTCAAAACTTTCTTGTGAATTTAAATGGCCATCTGCATCCCTGGAGCATCTCCTAAGGCATATTGTATTTATACACATTTATGTCAGGGCAAACAAATCCCTGAGCACTTTAAGCACACCACAGTATTTTTCTTGGTTTGGGGGGGAGTTTATATTATCATTATTTTGTGTTTCACACTAGAGATGGATCATTCCTACCTTCAAATGGAAAGCCATAGCATTGGGAAAATAAACTGACTTAAAAGAATGGCTAAGATGAAGAGCTGAGGATCTCAACCCGGATCTGCAGTGATCTCCATGCCTCCTCTACAAGGAAGAAAACCTCTGGCCAGAGAAACACACAGTTCAGCCTAAACAGGATGTGAAATTTTCTGGTTGAAAATGAAGACCTTAGCTCCCACATTACTCTACTTGGCTCTCAGACAACATCAGGACATTGAGACCCACAACAAAGCTGAGTCAGCAATTAGAGTGACATTCTCAAGGCCACCTGCTATGACCACTGGGTAGACTGTGCATCTGAGCCCAAGGCCAGACTCCAGCATCTCCATTTAATACTGTGTATGTAATATTACCTTCTGTGAAAGAAAGGATCACACAAATTCTCTTTGAATTGTAAATGAAACTAAAAATGAAAGTATTACCCATCTCAGTACTTAACATTTCCACGAAATTCTCCAAGAGAAAACATCTTCAACATTTTTATGAGAAAAAGTTTGCCAGAGAGAATAACAGGAATTTTCCTCCAGGAAAGACCTGTGTAATTCAATACATTAGTTTCCTTGTATGGGCTTCCATAAAACTCAGTGTTACAGCATAGCCACTATCACAGAACTTTTTTTTTTCTTTTAAGGATAGGTCGTTAGGAATAAATTTTACATTTATGAAAAGTGACATTTCCAACATATATTTCTATTGATTTTGCCACACGATTAACTATGTGTCCAAAAGTATATTCTGGCTCTAAGGTGGTTCCAGCACCCATTGATATTCCTCGTTACGCTCTGTTCACTCACCACAAACTCACCTGAGACTAACTGCTGCCTGCACCCTGCATAAATACTCTAGATGTCACACATGCTCATAGGGAGCTTTCCTTCAATGTGGACACCACAAACTATTTGATCTGTTTTCTAGATAAAATGAGTGTTTTAATTTTATAGAATGTACATCAGTTATTCCTGTTGTTGTAATTCTGTGCATAACTCTACTTTAGGTGAGGCTTTCATCTTGGTGCATCCCACTACATCTGTACATGGAAATGCCCACATTACATGTGCTCTACCTGGTAGCACTCAGCACATCTGTTCTTCAGCTACACACCAGCACACCAAGCAGGCAAGAAAGGGCACTTCATAGAAACACAATTTTAAATTTCACTGCCTTCTTTGCTGTCTCTCTAAGAACAGTCGGTACGGATTTCCAATTGAGATTGGATGCATGAATGGAATCTGGTAGCACATTATTTCCATATTGGAACAAAGTTTTCTCTCCTCAAAAACAGAAAATTTTAATAATTAACTGAATTTGAAAGACTGGAAGGCAGAATCTCTGTAACCCAAAATCACACTGTTCTTTCCTATGAACTGAGGTTTCTCAGTGCTGACATCTGGACAGTGCACAGGGAGGCCACACACACAGGTGTGACCTGGAGAGGGGTGAAGAGATAAAATGCAAGGAGACAGGAAGATGAGGGGAAAAGGCTCAGGGACACCTCTAGAAGGTAGAAAGGACAGATTCCCCCCTAGATTCTTCAGAGTGAGCACATCCTGACAACATCCTGGCTCTATCACACTGAGCACTCAGCCGGACTTCTGACCTTCAGAACTGTAACATGATGATTTTTGCATGTTCAAAACATAAGGTCATACAAAATCTTACTATAAAAATAGAAAACTAATATGAAGGTATTTACTGAGTTTTCCTGTGAGACTCTTCCATAATACTACAGGAGGTAAGGAATCCAATCCATTTAATTTTCTCCTGAACCCTGCTTTCTTATCAGGAGGAATGGGACACAGTCTTTAGGCAGATGGAGAGAGTGCAACTCCCATGTCACATGGCCAGCAAACAGCAGGACGGACACTAAAATGAGTTTTTACTCCAGGATGAATCGCACAGGGACAATGCCTACATTATGGTTAACAGTCATTCTATGCCATGTCTTCAGCTTAGAAATTGCTGATAGTAACAGTGAAATCTCTTCCAGACCCACAGCCACTGAACTGGTGAGGGTCCCCAGATTACCAGATGTTTGTCCAGCTAGTGAACAGTCTGTGATGGAACCAGGATGAGTAGCTGACCTGCTTGATCCTAGCCTGGGCTACACAGTGAACTCAAGCCCAGGATGAACGACAAAGTGTGATTCTATCTCAAAAACCAAAAAAGAAAAACAGATTTC